CATTACTATATTGGAGCGGTTCACATTTTGCCTGAAACATTGTAGGCCGCTTTATGATAACTCTATCCATTTTAGCTATACTATACACTAGTACCACCTGCTCAGCTGCATGCGTAACAGTATATATGTAAAAAAAGACAGACACAATGTATAAAGTTGTCAGGATCATATTGTAGTTCCACACTCTTTATAACCCCACAGCCTATTCCTCAAGTAGATTCAATGATTTTTACACACTAGTAAGGTCAGGTTACTTTAACTTATGGGAAATATTAAGAACACTAGATATCACAATAAAAATAATTGGCTTCCACACATTACTACGGCTTTCCTGTACCATTAATATTCTAAAACATCGCCCTGAAGATTGCCACAGCTTACTGGCTAAGTTTATTGGTCTAAATAACTCACTGGTCCAGTTCATTGTACCAAGCTGAGTAGGTATCCTCTTTTGATGAACATGGACAACATTGGCTGTCATCTAGTATCTCCATCTAAAAGGCCTAACTCCAACAGCTCCTTACAGTGACACAATGTCACCCTCAGGGGATGATGCTCCCTACTTTGCAGTGTTAAGAGTTGGGCAGTTCAGGGAGACCATCAACTGCCACCACTATGGAAATTGTTCATACAATACATGATATGATCATGGAATCTTTGAAAGGCATTTAGAAGTGATACACATAAGGAAGAGAATTTATGGATGTCAACTTCTTTAGAACGTTTAGGAGTACATGCTTACTCCTTCATACACCTGATGAAGGAGTAAGCATGTACTCCGAAACGTTGTGTTCCTTATAAAGAAGTTGACATCCATAAATTCTCTTCCTTATGATTATGGAAGATCGACTCACAACACGTCGCACAGCCAATACACATGGCCTCTCGTGAGAGAGTTGAGAATATTCAGAAGACTGAACTGGGCGTGACAAAGGTTTCATAACGCTGGTAACAAGGCATCTGACTCCTGATGAAACAAAGCACCAGGTTCAGGATCTCTCTTGAGAATTTGTCATTTTCAAGTAGACCAAGGTGATTTTGTTGAGCGGTTTATAACCATGGACAGAGACCATACACCGGTAAATGGTCTCTGGCATGGTAGAGTCTTGGGTTCACCACGATCATCCAGAGACTAAACAACAGCCAAAGCAATGGAAACATCTAATGTCACATTGTGAGGAGGAAAAGTCTGTTCCACCAGCTGGCAAAGAGATGGGTTCGGTTTTCTGGGATTCCAAAGCAATCCAACTGGCGGACTACTCACAAAGACCAGACCATTGACAGCCAGTATTATGATGCTCAGGCTGGTGTGAGAATATCAAGGCTAAATGACAGACAGATGTGCTGTCCCACTCTTTTGCTTTCCATGTAAACCTCATCACATGTATCATGAATAGACTGACACTAAACATGTTAGAAACTTTCATATCTGTTAATTTTTAAGACTATCGAACATCTTGTAAGCAACTGTCTTTAGATAAACCCTGACCATGGTCTTCAACTCAGTGACTGTTTAGAACCAGTGCATCTAATCCCCACCTACAAACCAAAGAGAAGTCTTGGTCAGCAGAACAAGTATAGTTCACGGTTCCAAGAACATCCGAAACCGACAGCGATAGAGCTTTCCAGGAAAACAGACTTGTTCTGTGGATTCCTTTCCATTTGTCATCAGAAACCTAGACAATCTGAGTGAGTGAGTTAGTGAGTATGGTTTTACGCCGCTTTTAGCAATATTCCAGCAATATCACGGTGGGGGACACCAGAAATGGGCTTCACACATTGTACCCATGTCGGGAATCGAACACGGGTCTTCGGCGTGACGAGCTAACGTTTTAACCACTAGGCTCCCCGACTGCCCCAGACAATCTGAACTGATTCAAGACACAAGTCAAAACCTATCTGTGTGCACAAGCCTATGACTAAAAGCGCTTTTGAGCACAAGTTTGGAAAGCGCCTATATAAATATCTAATATTATGCCTCTTCACTCAGAGTAACGTTCACATTTCCAGGTAGTAATTAGGTAAACTCATAACATTCCATTTCATATGTTTCAGATTCCGGGGTAGAATAGGTTTTCAGCAACCCATGCTTGCCGTAAAAGGTGACTATGCTTGTCGTAAAAGGCGACTAACGGGATCGGGTGGTCAGGCTCGCTGACTTGGTTGATGCATGTCATCGATCCCAATTGCGTGGATCGATGCTCATGATATTAATCACTGGATTGTCTGGTCCAGACTCGATTATATACAGACCGCCGTCATATAGCTGCAATATTGCTGAGTGCGGCGTTAAACAACAAACGAACCAACCAATCATATGTTTCATCCCATCAAGAACATAGTTGACATCTGTACAAACACCCTCTGTTAAGTGTACAAAACTCTATTTGATATTCTTTTTTATGACATGTTGCAGTCTTATAATGCAATCAGATCTAACATATTATATGTGAATACAGCCTTTATATCTTGACATTATTTGTGAACCAATTGACATAATATTCCTAATTATTCAAACAAAAGTGAAATAAGAAATGTAGGTGTTAGACTGTAACATATTTTCTGTTATTTTCTGTATACCAGGTAAAGATTGGATAAATGAAGTAAAACATTGGGAAAACTAAATATATCGTGTAAAAGAGTTTATACAACTGGTAAAACAATAAATAAGTCAGGAAAAATAGTGGGTACATTAGGCAAACATTGGGAAAACTAGGTATATTGGATAAGAGACTTTTCTTAACAAACTAAAACTTGCTTTTCAATGAATCGTGTTAACTAATTGTCACAACAAACTACAAATATGCATTTCAATTAATCGTGTGTTCACCTTTTTTATGAAAACCCTGGCAATTAGGTGCCTTACTCTGTGAGTGTGGGTTCGAATTCCGGATGGGAATCCACCAAAAAAAGTACTAAATTTTGTATTTTATTAAGGTTTAATCCAAAACAGAACATACAAAACAGAGTTACTTCCCCTTGACCACAAATAGCCGACAACGCAAAAACCATGCACCATCTTCATGGGCCCAATAAAATCAGATTGTTTTACCTGAGAATAATGCATGATATTAATGTGAAATAATTATATTAATTCTGTAGTTTGATGAGAATTAAATTGACACAACTTCGCACTCAAGTTTGATCGATTTCTGTTTACACCCATTCCCTTATATATAGATATGGTATTACTAGTGAAACAGCTCCTTTACGATCCAGTGTATTGTCCTGTCAAAACCATACTCCTAATCTTTAAAGGCAGGCTACTTTCACTCATGACTAAATGGAATAGAGCCTCTTTGATCACAATTACACAAGAGATTTTGCTTAAAACAATTATTCAAAAACTTCTTTGTAAATGCACCACAACAAATCAATTTATCATCAAATTTGTGCATTTTAGTTTCAATATGACACTGCGTCCATTGACAACATAAGACACAAGCATCTGCGGCCTGCTACCACACTAAGCCAAATGGAACACTGGGTTCGGAAGCGGCTGTAAAATCGTCGGTTCCAGCTAGTAAACTTCACCAAAGCAGGAGGGGCATATGGTACCTTGATTGCGTGAATGGAGAGTTAAAGATGTGTGTTTATCTAATCTAAATACTTTAAATACCAATTAAATCTTTTGATAATTTTAGTTTTGCCGTGCTATTTATTGCAAATTGTTATTTTACGAACGTTTCAAACATTGTTCACTCACTCAAATAATGATTTATAACTATTATATGGCCAATATGTTCCATCAAATATTATTTCTTAAGAATGGGCCGTTACACAGCAAGTCAGTACCTCCTTTTGATGTCACCTTCCTTCACACATCAACTCAAGCTTCCCATGCTGCTCCGTGCAGCTTTTAAGCCAAACAGAGTAAGCTCCCTTGACACATCAAGGGAGGTAATATCATTTCGTGGATGGGGACGCAGACTTATGTTGTCAGCAGAACGGGTTCGATTTCCCACACAGGATCATGGGTAGGACACACATGTCATAGCTTTGCTTATTACAGATATTCACTTTGCAGCAGACATAGATCTTTATGTATGACACTTCTTAATATCCACAGAGAAGAAAAAATATGCTTGACAACTATCTTCTTTGCCATGACGAACAAGTTTCGGAATGTATATTTACTCCGGTGAATGACGATAAAGGAGTAAGTATATACTCCTAAACGTTGTGTTCCTCATAATAAAGAATTTGACATCCATAAATTCTCTTCCTTATGTGTATCACTTCTAAAAGCCATTCAAAGACTTCAAAGGTATTGTTTATAAATAGTTTTCTACAGAGAATTCAGTGTCTCCTAAACCTCAAATAATCACACACGACGCATGCAGGTGTTTTATTTCAACAAATTTATTTATTGCCGAATAATGAATAAGAAGTGTTTATCCAGAGTTGATTTGTTTGGATATATGTTTTGTGAATCTTCAAACAGGTATGAAATATTTCTGTATATCTTTGATTTTTTGTACATTTTACTTTCAATAGCTAGATTTCCAGAACATCTAGTTCCGCAGGACTACAATACTTTTAACCATTTCCGAGTGTCTCATGTGATGGTGGCACTACTGGGATGAAACTTACTCCCTCACTCACACACATGTTTCTCTGAAACACATGTTCACCTCCATTCAGCATCAAACTGTGGGGATTCCGTGGGGTGGGGAGGATAGAATACATCCCCCGCAACCCATGCGGGTCATTTGAGGTGACTCTCTATAGTGGGTGGTCCAACTTGGTGACTTGGTGAACAGTGTGTCTTCGTACCCGATGGCGTGGATTGCTGCTTACCTCAATCACTGGAGTGTCTGGTTCAGACTAGATTATTTCCAGGTGGCCAGAAAATTACTGATTGATGTGTTAACAAGAAACAGACCAAAACCTTGTGTTGCTCTCACTCGCACTCTATATGCCATTGGTTAGCTTGTCACCACCAAGACGAAATGTGTCACTGTCTCCCAACAGATGTAGAGAACAAAACAAATAATTCATTCTTCTAAACATTTATTTCTTAGAATAATATTTACAAATGAATTCTTTGCAAACAAGTCAAGTTTCAAAAACTGTACATTCTGCTGGAGACGAGGTGAGCAGCAAAGGTGTTACAAACGCTGCTACTGCCGCTGCCTCCAGCATCTAGCACTAAGTCTGCCTTATATCTGACAGAAATATGTACACTGGGCTTACATTGGTATATTGGCCTGCTACACTCACACAGGCAGGCCAACATGCAGCTCATCCTGCCACGTGTTTACCAGTTGTTGAAATAGTCGGAATTCACCGTGCATATGAAGCTCACCAACAAAATGAGGTCAAGCAAATGCTAAATATTTCAAAATGTTCAACTCTACATTTCGTGATATAAATAATAAAAAAAAATAGAAAAAAAGCTGAAACATGTCAGGTTGGAGCATCTATGTATAACAATAATCTTTGGATAATTATTGACAGATTCGTCTCTCTGTACACAAGTATTTCATGTGGTGTCGCCGTCACAAAACCAATATATTTCATGTGCAGAAAGTATCATACAAAATTGTCTGAACAAGTTGAAAATAATTCGTCAAATTGATTTGATAGTTGATAATTCAATTGTGAAAACAATGTTGCAATTTCAAGTTTATTTTGAAAATTGTAACATGAGTTATCTCCCTTTGACCAGAAAAATTATTGTCAAAATCAGTTGGACTCCTGCAAAATTGGTTTCTAATCTGGTTTCTGAATGTAATTGTATAAAATTACACTGAAAGAAGGTGATGTTTTCCCGTTTCATCCGATTTCAAATTGATCAGACAGGACACAAAACATGGCATTCTTCCTGTGAACCTTGGAACTGGACAACCAGTAGCACTGTCAGGCTGTCATGTGGGTTATAGACATACAATCATATAGTAAGTAGCACCTTCAACAAATCATTTTGATTTTAACACTATTTTATTATTATACAAATTAAATTAGATGTCATTGTGAACAGACAGCTTGCTACGTTGGACCCTGAAATGTGACTAGATGGGCCTTGCAAGCATCACTTTTCATGCTCCACATGCAGAAAACTTAAGTGTGTCTGAATTAACGCAACTTGTTACATTATTATAAATGACAGTTTGGTATTCTGACCAGCTATTAACCAAAAACAATATCAAACTTGCTGTAATTTTCTTTCTTTTTTAATTTTAAGTTTCACTGAAATGCAATAGAACAGACAATGGTGTTTTTGCTTGTCTAGACCTTGCACAGACCATAGTGTCTTGTTAGGCCAGAACTTGCACAGACCATAGTGTCCATTTAGGCCAGAACTTGCACAGACCATAGTGTCCATTTAGGACAGAACTTGCACAGGCCATGGTGTCTATTTAGGCCAGAACTTACACAGACAGACCATGGAGTCCATTTAGGCCAGAACTTTCACAGACCATGGTGTCTATTTAGGCCAGAACTTACACAGACAGAGCATGGTGTCTATTTAGGCCAGAACTTTCACAGGCAATGGTGTCCATTTAGGCCAGAACTTTCACAGACCATGGTGTCTATTTAGGCCAGAACTTTCACAGACAGACCATGGTGTCTATTTAGGCCAGAACTTTCACAGACCATGGTGTCCATTTAGGCCAGAATGTGCACTGACTACACTGTCTGAGCCTATGTTTGTTCTGTGTGTATCAGGTTGGATACATTGCTGAGATTCTGGAGACTGACAGTGATTTACTGTCATGACCAATAGGCAAACACTTGATGGGTGTAGAAAAACACAGTAGTGGCATAATTTTGAATGAACTTACATGAAACATATATATAATATAAGAATATGATTAACCTGGTTTTTTTCTGTATTCATGTGTATCCTGATCTTAGGCAACCATAGCATTAAGTTTCCTCTTTTAACAGAACAACAAAGAAATACATTAATACTTAACCGACCATGCTACTTTCCTACCACTCCAATCAGTGTTTGCCTCCGAGCATGACAGCATAGATATAGCGTATACATAAAACCAACAGCTTTACTTTGTCCTCTGCGTGCAGTAATCACTGCACATGGCACTATAAATAAAAAGCTCAAACGTTTTGGTTGCCGTGACAACATAAATATACAAAAGCAATATTTCTACAAACTATGGTAAGCCAAGAGCAGTTGCCATGGTTACCAGATCACAAACATCAGACCCCAGTCGAAGCTGGCTTGTCTTTGCAAGAGACACACATACATCCCCACATAAAGCTTTCATTCATACCAATATTGAAGTCTTTGCACAAGTGTAACTTTTTTGTCTTTTTTTTTCAGTCTCATTTTTTTTTTCTTGATGGCAGCAAGTAGAAATGCAAATGAAGCACATTGCATATATCTCCCTGCAGCAGGAAATTGTCTGCGGGATGACCTCGAGGTCAATGTTTGACCTTGAACTAGGATGACCTTGAGGTCATTATTTGTCCTGACACATTTGATGTTGTAGAGTAAAAGGCTTTGTCGCCCTGCAGTTCGGGCATGCAAGTAATATGAATAGCAACACCTTGAGGTATGATATTGGTCACATCCTACATTAGTTTCTATTTTGCATCCTTTCGTTCTACTCAGTTCTACCGATGAGGCACACAGAATATATGAGATGAATGTCCATCCAATTAGGTGGCTGTGTTCTTTCATAAATACTGCACTTGTTCTAATGCCATGATTATGTGCTTTGGATCAGAGTAATACTTGAGAGGCTGATCTCTCGTTTCTGCACCTTGAAATCCATGTTATGAGTCCTTTCTCCTCAACATTTCAGAAGTCAAAGTGGCCGACATGACCATCCAGGGAAGTAATTCACAACTTCTACCTTCTTCTGAGCAATCCATGTCATGGTTACCTCCCTTAGTTCAAGGCAATCACTTCAAAATAGCACCTTCATAGCACAATATCAGTTTCAGATGTTGGAGATAGCACAAAACATACAAAACAAGCAGCAATGCTTCAAACACTATGTCAACAGGAGTCCCAACACATTGTGTCGACAAAGAGCTCTGTTACAAAGTGTCAACAGGAGTCCCAACACATTGTGTCGACAAAGAGCTCTGTTACAATGTGTCAACAGAATCCCAACACATTGTGTGGACAAGAGAGTTCTGTTACAATGTGTCAACAGAATCCCAACACATTGTGTGGACAAGAGAGTTCTGTTACAATCTGTCAAGAGATTTCCACGACAATGTGTCGACAAATGTGTTCCAACACAATGCCAGGCTATCCGGGGGGAAAAGCATTTTGTACACACGACTAAAGCTGTTCCACCATTTTCCATCCTTCACCGATTTCCACTGATTTCCACATGTTTGTGCTAGATCCAAACTGCAGTTTGTTATCACAATGAGATGATATGACAAGACGTGGGTTCACATGACAATCATAACCACGCTCCCATGTCCTTCTCCAAGACGGCGGCTGCGTCCATTCGGCCCATGACGCGAAGAACGTTCATAAGATCTGTAATGGCTGTCTCTTCTCGATGTCTGGCCTCCCACAGATCCAGGATGTGTTCAGTTGGACTTGGCTTTGTGGCAAAGAAGTTGATATACCTGCCAAACAAGATGTACATACATTACTTGTGTGTCATAGAGAAGATGAAGTTCTAGTTCTGTAGCTTAATACAACCTGGACAGAACTCATTGGTAATGGTATATATATGTTTTTCTTTAGCTCTACCCCACTCTGGTCCTCCTCCTCTCCATATACACATCCACCATTTCGTATATGCTCCCAACTCAAACCTAACTGCATCACCTGATAACCTATTCCATCTCTCATCACATCATTCCACTATCCTCCACTACCATCCTAGCTATTTCCTCAAATACCATTCTAGCTATTTCCTGCACTACCATCCTAGCTATTTCCTCCACTACCATCCTAGCTATTTCCTCCACTACCATCCTAGCTATTTCCTCCACTATCCTCCACTACAATCCTAGCTATTTCCTCCACTATCCTCCACTACCATCCTAGCTATTTCCTCCACTACCATCCTAGCTATTTCCTCCACTACCATCCTAGCTATTTCCCCCACTACCATCCTAGCTATTTCTAGCACTACCATCCTAGCTATTTCCTCCACTACCATCCTAGCTATTTCCTCCACTACCATCCTAGCTATTTCCTCCACTACCATCCTAGCTATTTCCTGCACTACCATCCTAGCTATTTCCTCCACTGCCATCCTAGCTATTTCCTGCACTACCATCCTAGCTATTTCCTCCACTGCCATCCTAGCTATTTCCTCCACTACCATCCTAGCTATTTCCCCCACTACCATCCTAGCTATTTCCTGCACTACCATCCTAGCTATTTCCTCCACTGCCATCCTAGCTATTTCCTCCACAACCATCCTAGCTATTTCCTCCACTACCATCCTAGCTATTTCCTCCACTACCATCCTAGCTATTTCCTGCACTACCATCCTAGCTATTTCCTCCACTGCCATCCTAGCTATTTCCTCCACAACCATCCTAGCTATTTCCTCCACTACCATCCTAGGTATTTCCTCCACTATCATTCTAGCTATTTCCTCCACTATCCTCCACTACCATCCTAGCTATTTCCTGCACTACCATCCTAGCTATTTCCTCCACTACCATCCTAGGTATTTCCTCCACTATCATGTTAGCTATTTCCTCCACTATCCTCCACTACCATCCTAGCTATTTCCTGCACTACCATCCTAGCTATTTCCTGCACTACCATCCTAGCTATTTCCTCCACTACCCTCCTCCCTATTTCCACCCTTAATACTCCTTTGTTTGTTCCAGGAGGCAACACCCCAACCACATCCTCCTCCCACAACCACTCTCACCACCCAAGTTCACCCCAACCTCACCTTCCTCCCACAACCAATCTCACCACCCAAGTTCACCCCAACCTCACCCTCCTCCCACAACCAATCTCACCACCCAAGTTCACACCAACCTCACCTTCCTCCCACAACCAATCTCACCACCCAAGTTCACCCCAACCTCACCTTCCTCCCACAACCAATCTCACCACCCAAGTTCACACCAACCACACCCTCCTCCCACAACCAATCTCACCACCCAAGTTCACCCCAACCTCACCTTCCTCCCACAACCAATCTCACCACCCAAGTTCACACCAACCACACCCTTCTCCCACAACCAATCTCACCCCCACCACACCCTCCTCCTACAACCAATCTCACCACCCAAGTTCACCCCAACCACACCCTCTTCCCACAACCAATCTCACCACCCAAGTTCACCCCAACTACACCCTCTTCCCACAACCAATCTCACCACCCATGTTCACCCCAACCTCTTCAACCGATCCTCACCATCCAAATCAATCTCACCACCTCAACTTCCACCCAATCTCACCCCACAACCCTCAACAGTCCAGCTGAGAATTATTCTCATGAACCAACACCTGCGTAGGACAAAATCCCCCGATCTGAGTGTCCCCATCACGTTCTACCAGGAACTGTTTCGACCCCACATGTAGGACGGTAAATGTATACAAAAGGAACACACAAAAGAATCCCTCTACAACTCACATTACGCTACAATCTAGTTTTTCTACAGTGTTGAACAGGCAGAGACTCATAAGAAATGCACCTGTTTATTGGTGCAAACTTATCCCAGCATGTCATCACAAACTTCAACTGAATCATGGCATCCCCGTCCATGTCCGTATCCAAGATAGGCAGGAGACAATACATCTCCTCTACCCAGTCTCCAAACTTACATTCTCTCATGCTGAAAAAACATTCTTGGGAGAAACGACACTAGCATATGATACATTCTAACTGTGGTCAGCGTGATAGGTGACAGTGTGTTAGTGTTTAGATGGTTTCAGTGTGAGGGAATACTGTCAGTCAAATCTTGTTGCTCTAGTAGATTCTTATCTAACGAAAACATTAGAAAATACCAGCATCTAAACTCCCCGGCTGATTGATGGGGAAACATCTAGTTGGGCCTCCCCTTGATACATCACAGCTATGGGAGGAATCCAGGGCCTGTTTCACAAAGGAAACCTAGTGCTTTGAATATGTAGCAACTTCTATACTTTAACTTGACTCACAACAGTTCTAGCAGTGAAAAGCTTTCATGAAACAAGGCCCTGGCTAACAGGAGCCTGTTGCACAAAGCGATCTTATTGCTACGACTATTGTAACTCCTTTACATTAATATAGACTCACAACAGCTCTAGCAGTCAAAGGCTTTCATGAAACAAGGCCCTGGCCAGCAGGGCCCCTTTGCTCAGAATGATGTTATTGCTACACCAAAACTCCTACACTTTAACATAGACGTAGTGGTAACAGTAGTCGTAGCGCTAAGATTACTTTGAGAATAGGGGTCCCAGGGTCAGCATTTGAACGTATCAAGTTACTTACAATTATTCACAAATAAAGAAAACAGCTTTCTCAAGAAGCTCAGCTACTACATAATCCTCAATCTCCTGAATACCTATATATCATTTTCTTCAACATAAAAGAAACATTTTTAACCCGAATGCATCTATTTAGCTACAGTATTAGATCAAAAACATAGGCTTCGTTTACCAGTTGAAATAAATAAATTGATATATTTATACCAGGGCTGCATCTGTTGACACCCTGTTTCACGATTCCTTGAATATTCAAAAAGTGGAAGCGATAAATAAAACTTGAAAGATAAAATGTCATTTATCTCGTGAATGTAAACTGTTCTTTGTCAGAGAAGGAATATGATACATGAGCTAACAGGCAAAATGATTCAACATACTTAACACAATTTCCTGCATGAACGGCCAGCGTATACATGTAAATTATTAACCGTTTCAACAAGCATACAAAAACCAACCTAATAGGCCTACTCTATTCCAACCTTCTGACCCTTTTCTTTTAAAAGCCTTAAACCAAGGAAAAGTATAAGTGGCCTCAAACAGGAGATACTATTCCATTAAGTGTAACTGTGCAGTCACACTTTACACAACACCGCAAGCATCAGGAACAGGCACAGCCCTTCACTGCCAGATGTCAGAACTAGTTGGAGATGACGTCATCTGCTATTTCTACACCTGTCCTCAAAAAACAAGTCATATGTTTCTCCTTCATCAGAAAAAGTTTCAATCCGTCATATGACATGATATATCTGTGGCCATTGATACGTACCTATCTACAGACAGGGTGCGTGCGAGCATCCTCCAGTCGTTGCCCCGCGAGTTGGGGGGATCCAGGAGCATGCAGAGTTGGCCCTTGATGTGTGGCGGCAACCTGAACAAAGAAACAGTGCGGAGAATTAATAAAACAAACAGCCCCATTTATTTACTCTGAACAGCCAGCTATAGTATTGTGTAAGGGGTTGAGGAAGCACTGTATGATGTAAGGGGTTGAGGAAGCACTGTATGGTGTAAGGGGTTGAGGAAGCACTGTATGGTATAAGGGGTTAAGGAAGCACTGTACGGTGTAAGGGGTTGAGGAAGCACTGTATGGTGTAAGGGGTTGAGGAAGCACTGTACGGTGTAAGGGGTTGAGGAAGCACTGTATGGTGTAAGGGGTTGAGGAAGCACTGTATGGTGTAAGGAGTTGAGGAAGCACTAGGATGTAAGGGGTTGAGGAAGCACTGTACGGTGTAAGGGGTTGAGGAAGCACTGTATGGTGTAAGGGGTTGAGGAAGCACTGTATGGTGTAAGGGGTCGAGGGGGCACTGTATGGTGTAAGGGGTTGAGGAAGCACTGTATGGTGTAAGGGGTCGAGGGGGCACTGTATGGTGTAAGGGGTTGAGGAAGCACTGTATGGTGTAAGGGGTCGAGGGGGCACTGTATGGTGTAAGGGGTTGAGGAAGCACTGTATGGTGTAAGGGGTTGAGGGGGCACTGTATGGTGTAAGGGGTTGAGGAAGCAAGGTGTCCCCTTGGGGGTCAGGTCAGTTAGTGCGAGGACAACTTTTTATTTAATCTTTTTTAAAAATTTAAGTTATTGTCTCCCTATGTTTAAGCGGCATTTGGAGGATCAATGGCGATTGGGTTGATTTATAGATTTCAACTTCTGGTTATTTTAGGGTGATCTTTTGGTACACATGGTAGCATCTTTTGGCTCTCGTTTATAATTGTAAGGTTTTTTATTCAAATACAACATTCCATTTCAAATGGTGTGGACAAGGGTGTCTCTTAACAGGTCAACAATATGAAGAAATGTCAACTGTCGGTAAGCTAATCATCAGTCTTAACCAGGCCCCGTTCCACAAAGCGATCATAGCGCTAAGACTGCCGTAAGTCTATGTTAAAGTATGGGAAATACGACCATCCTAGCTTAGTGCTAAGACATCTGTAGCACTAAGATCATGTTGATGAACGGTGGATAGAAGAACAGAAAATGTGATGTCGTATACCATCACCTAGCTTGCAGGGAGGTATAGGACCAACAATATGGGGAGTTTATGATTGCGCCATTACCACCATGAACAACATCTAGCTTTAAATATTTGCTTAATTATTTAACTGACATTTGTAACATGGATTGAAAAACATGTGAGACAACGAAATTGGCAGACTACGAAAACCTTGACAACAGGTGAGACTTGAGTTATGAAATGAGCAGCTAGACCTACTTTCAGGCCTTTATAATCGAGAGGTTTGCGATAAGTTTAGATCAATTTATATCTTGTTTGACAGATTAATAAAAATATAAAGCATATCGACAGTGTTGATTCGAGTTAGTTCTCTATATTTTCGGTTCAGGGTCTGAGAGACTAACAACTGCTCAGTTCAACATGACGGGCTTATACCCATCCAGCACAACTACAAAGGAGATATCATTTGAAGTTTATGTACGTGAATTTTCAAAGTTTGATACAAAGGAAGTAGAAAATTAAGCAATTTGGTCTGTTTACGTCATTTTAATCACAACCAGACATCCACACTAATGTGTGGACGCAACAACAAACTCTCCACCACAGCGACATCACTCCTTGGCACATCAAAGCAATCAGCAGCAGATATTTACTTGCACATCTAAACTCAAGCCTGTAACAAATGTTAATATTTGTTGACCCTATATCACACAGATGGTGTAGGAAGCTCAGATATGATGGGGCAACCACATTGCGTCAAAAACCAGTCTTTGTTGTCATGGCTTTCGACAAATTAATCACCCTTCCAAAGAAACAGAAACCGCCAAAAAAGACGATACATGTTATACATTTATTTTCTTTGTGAAAATAAAAAGTTGTGCTTTCATGGCGGCAAGATGGCTGAAGTACTTTGCCTTAGATCAGTGTGTATTTTTATTGTTAAATCATGTACTGTTTGCCCTGGGGCCTCTGTAATATGAGTAATGTTTTCCTGGAGGCTATTTATCTGTTATGTAAGAAATATGCAAGCGCCATGTGGGTTCGCTCGTTAAGCATCTCGTTAGAGATTTAATATCACTGTCTTCCTACAGATTTGTTTCATCAAAGAAACATAAGATATAAACAGTACCACAGAATTAAAGATTTAGCAATGTTTAAGCGATAGTTCTAGGGGCATATCCTCAAGATATCTGTATGAGTAAATGTGTATACTTTTTAACTCATCAAATATAATAATAAGAAGAGAGTTTGTCTTTCGAAAAAAGAGTGTTTGTCTTTCTAAAGAAAACCTGAATATTTTAATAAAATTCAAACATCTAAATAAAACCATACAATAACATTCTAACAAAATAAATTAAAGATTTAATATCTTTAAATACGAGTTTATTAAATTTGCTTTCATTTATAATAAAACAGAAAAATCAGCTGTAGCTGAAACTAGTGTTTAGGCTTTACCTAATTGGACCATATTTCCTCTATTAAGAACACGTATTGAAATACATTGCAAAACATTACCCCAAACCCAGACCAATAGATGCCCTTAACAGAGGAAACAGTTTCTCACATTGTTTAAAACCTGTGACAGTTTACCAACCTGAAGACTTGTGCTGACGGATCAAGTGTTACCATGGAGCTAAACCCAGAGCTAGTGCCAGAGGAGTTAGTCGTTACCGTTGACGACCTGCCTTTCAAGGTACCAGACGGAGTTGGACAGGAAGGGATTTTCTGCAGAGTCAAGAATAAACACTATTAATACTCCTAAATACCAACACAACAATTTGAACAAAGTACAATATCGTTCATATTTCAGATAAGAACAACACCCTGCACACGCAGGCCACCCAAATCTTACCTCTTCACAGTTGAAAATAATAAAAAAATTCAACCTGATTCAGAGATTTATGTCTGGGTTCTCTCAAAACAACAGTAGCAATTACAAATGTGGAGAGTCTTCTCAACTCCTGTCAATGTTTGTCGGAATTCTGTCTATTTTGGATCCCAGTCAAGTAGACCCAAGGAAAAAAGGAGGTAACTACGGTCAAAGTTCTTAATTTCCTTTGCAAATGATAAATATTGATTTAAACATTTTCTAAATCTGCATATGAGGCAAGTAAAAATGCCAAATGCTGTCTAAAACATTTACAGCTGAGGTCACTGATGCAGAAGGGGTTCACAGTTTTTCAAAACCTAGATTCAAAATGAGGCGACATTTTGGTGAAATTAGTGATGGTTATCTTGTCAGTCTAATATTTCAAAACTAAAATACTTTTTTTTAAATCTTGATTTCTTCAGGTACAAAAAAGTATCATTCTGTCCAGATGCTGAATGGGTTATGATACTTCATACCCTAGTGTCTGTTATTATTTTAAAAAACAGAGGTCGTTCTTAAAGGTGTGTTCCACCCTGGGAATTAGGCTGGGATGCCTTTTACCTAATGTCAGCCATTGCAAGAGGACATGCAATGAGAAAAATCACCATTGTATTATTAATTGCTGTAAGAAATAAATAAATATTCAGTGACAAGCATAATCCTTTTGACGTTTTGGAAATATAAAATACTTGATTATGACTGTACATGTCTGTACATGTGTTATAGTATTGAGCAAAATTCATCATTGAATTATGAATTGATAAAAAAATTGAATGTAATAAATAAAAATCACTCCTGATGTTTTAAAAATAGAATGTATCCAATAACTTCTAATAAAGTTAGGACAAACTTTTCCAACATGTTCCTTGCAAATAAACTTATATGAATCTAGAAACAATTCATGTCAATGCACTTCTATAATAACAGAGGTAATATATTTCATTAAGAGATTTAAAACATACTTAGGAGTTGAAAGGAATACAAAACGGTTTGCTCTTGCACATCCCCTCAAGATATTAAATCTGAACATTATTTTCATACACAATAAAGTTTGTTTGAAACTCCCAGCCCCCATTTAAACACTGACATCTACATCCGCTATCACTTTCAAACATCAGACTTTCAATAAACTTCAAAAATATTTTCAAGGAAATATTGCAAATCCCTCCTCTCTCCGACATGTCCCTAATTAAACAAGGAGTATAAAACTGCTATATAAATGATTATGTATCTTTTATGTCAAAAAGAAAATATTTCTGGGATAATATTAGCTGAACTGACAGACAGTTTGTAGTAATGGACATGTGCTTTACATTTCAGGCCATCACCAGTGTGGCAGTGCCGTTTTGGGAGGTTACATTAAAGTTTATATGGGGGTAGAACGATAATATCCTCCCCTACTGCAAATTTGGGTAAGTTTTGAAGCTACAAGCTTAATGCAATCGTAAAAAAAACTTTGACAGTTTATAGCATTTTAGTGATATCAAAGATCTGATAAAACATCAAAGCCCGATCGTTAAGTGATGAAAACTGAATCCGGACTCCGCTGCCTACTGAATGAAGATAACAGCCTGCATGAGATATTCTGCACATGGTTATTTGAACACTTAACCATTCTGTGAATAAAATCTGATATTAAAATTCAAAATATTGTTCAAAAACACTTTAACTCTCAATAATCTTTGCAATAATACAAGTCTCATACTTTACATAAATCAAATACTTTCCTTTTAACACTCACGCTAATTTTTTTTAAAAAGAAGAGAATTTAAGGATGTCATCTTCTTTATTAGGGGGAACGCAATGTTCCTTAGGAGTAAGTATATACATCGATACATTGTGCTCCTAATTATAAAGAATAAAAAACATCCATAAATCTCTCTTTATGTGTATCACTTCGAAATGCCTTTTTAATACTTATTTTTTGCAAGTATATAAGTCTCATATTCTACATAAATCAATATTTTCCTTTTAATTAACATATACTGATATGATCGAAAATAAATCATAACTACTCTAAATCTAAAGCCATAAGTACAAAGGTTCCTGTCTTAACACACACAGCAGCAGGTTTGCTGTAAGACCACTGGATGTGTCCTGTGAATGTCTCTCTATACTGTAGGTTCTTGCTAAGCCTCCTCAAACAAATGTCGATTGGGATCCATGCTATCAGTTACCTGCCCCAGGTACAGAAAGCTCCATGAGGACCTCGGATTCAGTCTGTAAGTAGCCCCGAGACAAGCTACGATCTTCACCTGATGCACAAATCCCCGCGATGTTCTCCCACAACAAGACTGCTTGTTTGTGGGTTTATTATCTTAGGCGGGAGGGAAAGAAGTCTTTGATAGTCTCTGACAGATGATGCTGATCTGCCAGGAGCTTCAGAACAGGTCTTTGGTACATCTCGTACTGGGGAGGATTTCTACCAGGTTTTGAATCATGATTTTTGAAGATTTTGAATGGCAAGGCATGTAATTTATTATTTTATTTTAATTATCATTGTCGCACAGAGAGTGAGTTTGGTTTTACGCCACTTTTAGAAATATTCCAGCAATATCCCGGCGGGGGACACCAAAATGGGCTTCACACATTGTACCCATGTCGAGATTCGAACCCGGGTCTTCTGTGTGACAAGCGAACGCTTTAACCACTAGGCTACCTAACCACCTCTCATTGTCCCATAGGATACTCCATCAATTTGATAGTTCCTCCCAATCTTCTGCCATAGCTTGGCGGTACCAGTGGAAACCTGATCACTCAGTGACTCTGGGCCAATAGTTAGTGTGCTACCATATAACCATGTCACTATGATCAGACTCTAGGCCAAAAGTTAGTGTGCTACCATATAACCATGTCACTATGATCAGACTCTAGGCCAAAAGTTAGTGTGCTACCATATAACCATGTCACTATGATCAGACTCTGGGCCAATAGTTAGTGTGCTACCATATAACCATGTCTCTATGATCAGACTCTGGGCCAATAGTTAGTGTGTTACCATATAACCATGTCTCTATGATCAGACTCTGGGACGTGGGTAATGGCATGTGGTCGTAACCCAATGACGTGGATTGCTCATAATATCAATCACTGAATTGTCTGTCAGATTGATTATTCACAAGCTGCCGTTATACTGCTGGAATATTGCTAAGTCAGGCAATAAATAACAACAGAAACACAAGATGATCTTCATTGTCTCACTGTGTTGGGAGATGATAATGAATAACAACTGTAGACAATGTCATTTGTCAGAGGGGTACACAAAGTACGTGATCTAGACTACCACTTGTCAGACTTTCCTTTTTGTGGGAGCCTTGTTAGCTGAATGCGTTAGATCGCTGACTTTGTGTGGTGGCGATTAGGTGCCTCATTTGGCAGTGTGTGACTCAACACCAAAAAGCCCTGAAATATGAACCTAAAACTATCCCCAATATAACATTCCGGCAGTTACATTTGACCACTTTCGTAATAGCACTGTGTTCATAACTATAGACAATGTATTACATTTGAAATTGTAAGCAGCTAGTGCCTCACCTCCTTGAGGTTGCTGACTATCTGCAGGACTTGTCTGTTACTGAGGATGGCCTTCTGGTACACCTGGATCTTACAGCTGATCTTGTACTGGGACCGGTCAATCAACTCCAGGCTGAAGGAACAGTGCAAGTTATTCTGGTTTCCGCTCCAAATGTGTCGGAATGGAATTTCCTGAAATTCAAACAGACAAGTTAGACCACATACACGTTGTTGATCCTTTTATCAAATGTCACCTCTTCATCATCAGCAATCGTCACACACACAACCACCTCATCTAAATAAAGGCTGAAATGTATCTCAGGTCAACTCACATCTCAACACAACATGTTCTTTATAGCTTACAAACTTTAAAAAATTAGGTTATGTATGAATTTACAACCCAATTCAATTCAATTTTATCATCCAAATAAACCTGATTCTCCCAGCTCCATGCAGTTATTAAGAACTGAAGCAATTTTAATGATGCATACAAAATCGTATTTAACATCCGTCAAACCTATCATTTCATTTTTTAATGCCTTGGGTCATGAGATTTATCAAACACCCTGCTGTTTTCTTAAACCTGTGACCTTAAAATCAGCCATTTCATCTCTCAATCCAAACATTATTCAAAGCAGGCAGAAGGGGTCTCGGGGCCCTACCATGAGGCTATTTGTATTGCAAACGGGGCTTGGCTTTATAAACAGTGTTAAACTTCCCATATCATAAAACAGCTATCTGACTATTTGACCCTTACACAGATGCAGATGTTAAACTTTTTAATGAGCAATTTTAACATTTCTAACTATGAATGTTATCTAACATATCCAACTGAGAGGCGTTTCAGTCATAATTGATAACATTCGTGATGACTGATGACAAATATGATGGGCACACATTTCAAAATTACCAAAGTGATTGCTGATGTGTTGATTGTTTATCAAAACATCTAAAAAATGGTAATAAACAGAGAAGTATAATGACGTCATTTGAGAGTCAGGATTCAAACATTTCTCGATCCAAAACTCATAAATATTTCTCAAAAAGGAAAACCTTCAATTCCACAACAAAGTTTGAAATGGAGAAATATCAGTGGTTTGTAAGCAAACCAACATCAAAATCACTGAGCAATGAAAAATTACAGAATGTTTATGTAAATAATGCTTCTTGGATACATACTCATTTAAAAAAGTCACTGCAAGTTTATTACACTCACAGATATCTGTACCTTCAAATATACAGTTTTCCTGATATCACAATCTTTCTTCTTAACTTTCAAAGTTATGCTCATTTTTGAGTTGCATTCTACATATTTTTGAAATATTATGTAAAAATTAGTTTACAAGAGAATCTGGTTTTATAATCAAGTATAAGCCTAGTGATACTGTGAGCATTTAGGGGAACCTGTAGTCTACAACCAAGAAGATATAACATGACAGTTTCTCATGAACTTTAAGAGCAGCACACATTAAGACAATGTCTAGTTCTGTTTACCTAATACTGTTCACCATGATAACCCCAGATGTACAGAAAGGTTAAACAGAGCTTCCCACCTCTTAATACACTGGTCTTTATTAATTGTCACTGCATAACAAATAATTGCCCTTAATCTAGCACCGGTACAGGGTTGCCATATCGGAAACAATATTTCCGAAACGGAAGCCAATATATTAGGATAAGAGAAGCCAATGACGATTTGGACTCAAAGATATACATAGACTGTTGTGTACTTTGAATAGCTCGGGTAGATAATATTTACATACATCATTCCATTAAACTGTCTTGGGAGTATAGGAAATTCAAAGGAAGTTAATTTCGACAGAGAAGAATTCTGGAAGTCTGTTAAAAGGTTAAAGTTTAGTCATATGTTTGGCACATGGTGACAGGCAGTTGCTCAGTGTTACTTAGGTTCAACCATGAAAAGGAATTCTCCATACAATGTTACACTTTTCAGCTGTTCTATGGTTTCATAGAAAAACGAATGTTTTGTCTAATTTAATATAATTTCTATATTTCATATTGGTCATTAAAACAGAAAAATACAAAGGTCTGTTTCCTCTCAATTTAAAAAACTAAGATATCAAACAAAAATCAGATGATCAGATGATTACAAATTGTGCGGACAGCAATTATTAGAACCAATTATGAGAAGATTATGAATTCCTCGTCAGAGGATGCAGAGAGACCACTCATAAACAGTTGTGCAGAATGCAGTATATATGAATCACCTTGGTGAAATGGATATAATCACAATCATATTAAAGGTTTTGTTGGTCACATAACAAGGCCTCCATTGCCAACATGGCAGTATGGGAAAATCTGCCTTGTGGCGGTTAAATGAACTGGTACGGAGAGCCAAAAAATGGCTGAACTTTTCAAGTAATATAGACAAAAACATCAAATGATCAATTTCTTTCAAATACAACAAACATGCATCATTGTATCAAATTTGATGAAAATGCCTCTGATATCTGATGTAATCATATTGCAATCCCCTCAGCTACATCAAATACGAAAGTTTTTACAACCAAAGCTTTTCTCATCAAACAACAATCCCAATATTTCAAAATTTCAGCAGAAATAAGCTGTGTTCACTGGGCAGACTCCAATCTTATACCAAGGAGGTCACGAAGTTGGGTGATAAAAAGCTGAAGGTTTCTAGCTTGTATTTAGAGGAAATTGATGGGTTATCAAATTGGTCTTTAAGCTGTCACATGGTATGAGGCAGGTAATCTGTCTTCCTGCTTCCCAGGGGAGGTAACTCTGGTGTAATACATCAACAGGTTTTTTTTACACAAGGGAGCATCAAAGCCCGAAATTCTAATTGAGACAAAAAGTGTAACTGGCGAGTTGCATACACAATCATTGGAATTCAACTACTTCCCAATTACACAAAGTGACACTTTTTTGGTATGTTAATCCCGACAGCAAAAAACATGATTGTAAAGGAAAAAATGTGATATTTAGAATTCATAATATAAAATATTCTGTTGTTGTTTCATCAAGTCCTAAACACATATACAACTGCTGTGACCGAAGGAATAACGTTTGCAAATTCTGATCATGTACATAACTTAGAAGTTCTATTTTCTTCTGAACAAGATATAACATAAACGTGAATAAAAAAAGATCTTCTGAGATGTTTTACTTTTATTGATTTGCATGAGAATTATAAATCTCTATTCCACGAGATCCAAAATTAAACTTCTTTGTCCAAATTTTTTTTAAATGATCTCACATGCTCAAAAAAGTAACAAATGATTCCTCGAGCTGCACGAGAAACACACTGAAATGACTTACTTTCTGCTATAGATACACCCATAACACTATACAACTGAAACCTCAGCGAGACAAATAAATACAAGATATGAACCATTATGAGCCATTAGATGATCCGATGCATAGAAAGGCTGATTGCTTGTACAAATAATCACTGCAACTGCTCTGTACACATGAGCTTCCAAAGAGGCAACAGAATCCTTCAGACAACCGATGCTCTAGTGGTTCTGCCTTAGAATTTTTTTCAGTTGATGCCCCTATCTGCCGGATCAACTGTGTTGGCAAGAGGAGGGTTTATTTAGACTAGTTGTTGAGGTAACATATGTTTTGACACACACAAATCAACAATTTATCTACAAATGTACACTTTTTACCTTATATCAGCAAAACAGCTGAACAAATTTTTCTTTTGTGGGAGATAAAGACATGTTTTTGGGAGTAAGTTGTACCTATTTATATCCCCTGTAGACTGTTGTAACAGGGATTGGTCATGATATGGTTAATATGAAACTTGTTACATCACAAATCTCCTCAAGGCAAATGGTTCCTCTTTTCACTAGATCGGATCCAACAAAATACTCTTGTAACATCAATAAACAAAATCTTTGAAACATTTCTTTTCGGCAACATTTCAACTCATTCACCTAATATATTGTTTTGTTTGTGTTTTTGCTCTTAATTTGCTTCTATTGAAGATATTATTGAATTTTGTGGTTGTTTCCGAGCCAGGATCCTGCCACAACAATGTGGAATGAAAGCCTTCTGTAGTAGCCCACATCAACCTGACCAAACACAATGGAATCTTCCTGTGCCTCGTCAGCCAATCGCTGGACACCCAGGAGAGGTTGTCCACAATGTTAGCGTACCTGATAGTTTGCAGCAAGTTTACTTCTCCACCCAGGAGAGAGTTCTTCTATGGTGAGACAAAGATTGTTGCCGCCATCTTGGAATGGAATCTGTTTTGGTTTGTCAAGGAGACGACCTCCAAGTCTTCGTTCTACTTGAAGGACACCCTGGAAAACATTAGGGCCGAGATATAAAAGCATTCTTAGCTTAAAGAAATGTCAGGTTTTGGTGTGTATATAAGACAATGGTCCTTATCTGAGGTAGAAGTTTAGAGACACTCGACATTGTTATATATGCTCAATAGTCACATGAGACATGAGCTATACATGCTCCACAGTCAAATGAGACTTGCTATATATGCTCCAGTCACATAAGACTTGTTATATATGCTATACAGTCACATAAGACTTGTAATATATGCTCCAGTCACATAAGACTTGTTATATATGCTCCAGTCACATAAGACTTGTTATATATGCTATACAGTCACATAAGACTTGTAATATATGCTCCACAGTCACATAAGACTTGTTATATATGCTCCAGTCACATAAGACTTGTTATATATGCTATACAGTCAAATGAGACTTGTTATATATGCTATACAGTCACATAAGACTTGTTATATATGCTCCAGTCACATAAGACTTGTTATATATGCTATACAGTCACATAAGACTTGTAATATATGCTCCAGTCACATAAGACTTGTTATATATGCTATACAGTCACATAAGACTTGTTATATATGCTCCAGTCACATAAGACTTGTTATATATGCTATACAGTCACATAAGACTTGTAATATATGCTCCAGTCACATAAGACTTGTTATATATGCTATACAGTCACATAAGACTTGTAATATATGCTCCAGTCACATAAGACTTGTTATATATGCTATACAGTCACATAAGACTTGTAATATATGCTCCAGTCACATAAGACTTGTTATATATGCTATACAGTCACATAAGACTTGTAATATATGCTCCAGTCACATAAGACTTGTTATATATGTTATACAGTCACATAAGACTTGTAATATATGCTCCACAGTCATGAGACTTGTTATATATGCTCCAGTCACATAAGACTTGTTATATATGCTCCAGTCACATAAGACTTGTTATATATGTTATACAGTCACATACGACTTGTAATATATGCTCCAGTCACATAAGACTTGTTATATATGCTATACAGTCACATAAGACTTGTTATATATGCTCCAGTCACATAAGACTTGTTATATATGTTATACAGTCACATACGACTTGTAATATATGCTCCAGTCACATAAGACTTGTTATATATGCTATACAGTCACATAAGACTTGTTATATATGCTATACAGTCACATAAGACTTGTTATAAATGCTATACAGTCACATAAGACTTGTAATATATGCTCCACAGTCATGAGACTTGTTATATATGCTCCAGTCACATAAGACTTGTTATATATGCTATACAGTCACATAAGACTTGTAATATATGCTCCAGTCACATAAGACTTGTTATATATGCTATACAGTCACATAAGACTTGTTATATATGCTATACAGTCACATAAGACTTGTTATAAATGCTATACAGTCACATAAGACTTGTTATATATGCTATACAGTCACATAAGACTTGTTATATATGCTATACAGTCACATAAGACTTGTTATATATGCTATACAGTCACATAAGACTTGTTATATATGCTATACAGTCACATAAGACTTGTAATATATGCTCCAGTCACATAAGACTTGTTATAAATGCTATACAGTCACATAAGACTTGTTATATATGCTATACAGTCACATAAGACTTGTAATATATGCTCCAGTCACATAAGACTTGTTATATATGCTATACAGTCACATAAGACTTGTAATATATGCTCCAGTCACATAAGACTTGTTATATATGCTATACAGTCACATAAGACTTGTAATATATGCTCCAGTCACATAAGACTTGTTATACATGCTCCAGAGTCACATGAAACTTGCTATATATGCTCCAGTCACATAAGACTTGTTATATATGCTATACAGTCACATAAGACTTGTAATATATGCTATACAGTCACATAAGACTTGTAATATATGCTCCAGTCACATAAGACTTGTTATATATGCTATACAGTCACATAAGACTTGTTATATATGCTCCAGTCACATAAGACTTGTTATATATGCTATACAGTCACATAAGACTTGTAATATATGCTCCAGTCACATAAGACTTGTTATATATGCTATACAGTCACATAAGACTTGTAATATATGCTCCAGTCACATAAGACTTGTTATATATGCTATACAGTCACATAAGACTTGTAATATATGCTCCAGTCACATAAGACTTGTTATATATGCTATACAGTCACATAAGACTTGTAATATATGCTCCAGTCACATAAGACTTGTTATATATGTTATACAGTCACATAAGACTTGTAATATATGCTCCACAGTCATGAGACTTGTTATATATGCTCCAGTCACATAAGACTTGTTATATATGCTCCAGTCACATAAGACTTGTTATATATGTTATACAGTCACATACGACTTGTAATATATGCTCCAGTCACATAAGACTTGTTATATATGCTATACAGTCACATAAGACTTGTTATATATGCTCCAGTCACATAAGACTTGTTATATATGTTATACAGTCACATACGACTTGTAATATATGCTCCAGTCACATAAGACTTGTTATATATGCTATACAGTCACATAAGACTTGTTATATATGCTATACAGTCACATAAGACTTGTTATAAATGCTATACAGTCACATAAGACTTGTAATATATGCTCCACAGTCATGAGACTTGTTATATATGCTCCAGTCACATAAGACTTGTTATATATGCTATACAGTCACATAAGACTTGTAATATATGCTCCAGTCACATAAGACTTGTTATATATGCTATACAGTCACATAAGACTTGTTATATATGCTCCACAGTCATGAGACTTGTTATATATGCTCCAGTCACATAAGACTTGTTATATATGCTCCAGAGTCACATGAAACTTGTTATATATGCTCCAGAGTCACATGAGACTTGTTATATATGCTCCAGAGTCACATGAGACTTGTCACACATTCTATTTCAGTTTCAGGAAACAGTTTGACATGCATTGTAATCATAAAGGTTATGGATAAGTTTCACACCAACTTTGTCTCAACCGTTAATCATGAAATAGAAAAGGCTGCACATACCTCTAGAGCGTCCTGCGTGTCCTCCACGACATAGACTCTAATACTGTAATCCAGAGAGGGAGTTATTGCAGGAGCAAAGGCTGCCAGGCGGAGAATCTTCACTGCCCGGCCACCACCTACAGATTCACCAATCAGGGCGTAGCGATTCAAAGAATCTGTGACAAGGTGGCAGTGGTCAGCGTCCAGTTGCATGTAGAGAGGTGTGTTGATCGTCTCATGTCCCAAGGTCACCAGGCGCTGCAAGGGGAAGTGAAGTGTTAGAGTCTTCACACACCTGGAGTATAATCTAACATATGGAGAAACAACAACTAAATCCATGTGCCAGGTAACATGGGACACCATCTTGTTAAAATTTCTCTCATACAGACCGAACATCCCTCAATCATTCAAAAGCTGGGCTTGTTGAAGGCCACAGGCTTATCCCTGGACCACAACAGTCACCTAACTAGTGCTTCCAGGTACAACGTACAGGACATGAATAATGATGACAAATTAGATAATATTATTTTCAAAACAAAAAGTAAAAAGTCTAAAAAGTTTGTTTGTTTTTTTCATTAGAAAATCATGACAGCATATAATTTGCTTTAATTAAAATGCTGTTATTATATTTCAACCAGCTTTACCAAAATAAATATATACACTGTCTTCATACATCTCACATAAATATATACACCACCTTTATATATCCTAAATATATATACCGATTTTATATCTTTTCCTCATAAATATATACACCTTCATATATCCTAAATGAATACAAACACCTCATTCATATATCCTAAATAAATACAAACACCTCATTCATATATCCTCAAAAATAATATACATGTATATACACCACCTTCATATATCCCAAATTAATATATACACCACCTTCATATATCCTAAATAAATATGTACACCGCCTTCATATATCCTAAATAAATATATACACTGCCTTCATATATCCTTAATAAATATATACACCGCCTTCATATATCCTAAATAAATATATACACTGCCTTCATATATCCTAAATAAATATATACACTGCCTTCATATATCCTAAATAAACCCACATATGATGTTTGAAAGCATAACTACTGTATTGCAGACATTCCACGACACATTCATGACTATTTCATCCCTAATCCCACACACAACCTTCCAAAAGATTTATCCAAACATGTCTAAACTGGTTATAACATTGACTTTCTCTCCCTATGATCTGGATTACAGTTAATACACTTTATAGACAGGATCCTAGTAAATCTGTCAACAGTGCGACATATTTTCACTTTTCGATTCTAACAGGTTTAACCACACCACAACGGCAAACTCAAGAGAAATCATAAAATGAATTAACGCAACATCCACTTCCTAATTAACCCAGAGAGAGGAGATTTATGCTATCACTAGGCACAAGACCAGCAACCCAAATCCTCTAGCTTATTTGGAAATTTTATTATCGAGATTTCCTTGCAATAACGTTACCACCAATATTTTATCTTGGACCATCGAACGTTTTTTATCCAACCCCCTTCTTTGGCTTCAATTGTTGACGTGCAATCATGGATTGCTTTTTATTTGCGCAACAGCATCGTTGCATTACTCCCTCGACTGATGTTTTGTGATTCAAATCGGCTAGGGCCATAAACCAGTATGAGTCAGTTGTTTCCTCCATCGAGCAGGTTTATTGCCAGTTACATGATTACCAATTTTCACATTAATGATTTCGTCTTGTGAAAAATACCATTTAGACCTAACGTGACCCATAAAGACAGCAATTTCACCTCTTGAAATTTCTGCAATCATCGAGAAATGCAATCATTAAAAAAATTCTTTAATATTGTTCTAATCTAAATTATCATATAGCATGTCTGATCTTATCATTGCTTTGACACAATTTATTCCATAACACAAATTTCACTGTCCTCTATCTCATAAATATCATCAGCCTTCAGTCTTAAATGAACAAAATGAAGGGACAAGCAAATTCATTTTTCAAATCAATTAAAATATTTCAATCAGGGCTAAGCCCTAGCTTTCTGATCCATTAATAAACAAATTGATGTTTATTTTTAGTACTGAAATAAATTATTGATATCAACAATACGATTCATCTGTTGCTGAATAGTGCTTTGTAAGCAGTTTTTGCAAATCTAAGTTGCAAGTTTGTACTCCAGTCATGTTCGCCGAAATTTCCTTTGATAAATTTCAGCGTGAAATCTTAATTTCATCTTGCGATTAATTTTATCAAATCTGAACAAATATAAGCCTTGATCTAATTCAATGTCATTGTAATTATATGGTCTGGTTCACAAACTGTCATAATATCACAAAAGGGTTCATAATATTTTTTTCCAAATGACAAAGCAGCTTGAGCAATCGTATCCAATGTATTTATATCAAAGGCATCGCATGTCAGAAACGGTCATGTGTGAAATGATCTTGCTAATATCAATTGTTATTCTTTGAAATTGTCAGGAAAATTATGTCAAATTACATATTTCTTTAAGGTTATCTCAGTATGGTGATTCAAATGAAAGGGTATTAATTCTACTTTGAAACAAATGGCCACACACAGTGTCCTTTCATTATAGAGTTTTATAAAAGAAATATTTTTTTCACTTTCAAATGTGTCAGTTTTTCCACTTTTTTTCATTTCTCAATACCCATATGAGTAGTAATTCATATGAAAGCATTTTCTCTCCTCTTTCATACAAATGGTGATCAGATATTTAATATTTAATTTGATATTATAATTTAATTAGATTATATTTGAACATTTAAAACAATTTGCATACTGACCTGCCATTGTGGAGGTTCATCTGCTGGTGTACCACTGTTGTAAACAGAGAGAATCCAGCCGCCTTGCCGCATACTAGCACAGTGTTGGAAAGATAAAATAACTGGCTTTTTCAACACTACACTCTGTGGGCCCACAAGGATCACTGGACTCAGGACTGTTTGACGATCTGAAAAAAGGAAGAAATATATAGCCTATACAGATGTTTGAAATCTTAAATCTTACAAACAAAGAGTGAGATGGAGAGAGACAAGTGTCACACAATTAGCCTCAATTACATTTCTTATGAAATAAAACTGAATTGTATGATTTCTAAAATGTCCTTTCATAACAAATCTTACTCCAAACTTAATACCAAATACAACTGAAACTGATTAAATTAATATAAATACAGAACTAAACCTTAGAGCAAAGTGTTACTTCTAAATCCATATGTGTGGACACAGCATTCAAGGATTGTGAGTAACTCTCGCCCATTGCTCCAAACCCCAACAGCAATATCACTTACCATGTAATCGTGGTCTGTCTTTGTCATCTCTGCATATGGCCATGTAAATCTCCTCCACAGTGCCTTTCTTTATTGCCCCCTCTGGCACCATCAAGCTTACACCTGCAATATTACAAAAGATATATTAGATAGGCATCACAACAACCCTGTAGGGAGATCACAAGGATGTGAAAACAGGCTATGAAATAACTGGATCTGTGACATTCATTCATGTACATCTTAAACAAGATAGACTGGCATACTGATCTAAAATAAAAGTATAAAAAACATCTCACAAGCTAATATGGAAATATTTTAATCTATTAATCAAAAGATTTTCCTAAAGAGTCCTTAAATTTTAATCTTAATAACACAAACAAAGCTATGAATATACATGATGATGTTAATTTTGCAATTATTTTATGTCAATTTTGATTGTTAATATCAAATCCACTCTTTCTTAAACATCAATATTCATATAAGCTGCCATTAGTAATTTATTCATTACTACAACATCTGCATTTTGCCTTTCATCTCAAAATTGACTAAAGACTTGTTGGTCCGTCTTTAATTCAGAATTCATCTTCTTAATAATAATATTCGGCCTTGGTCACATTTTATGACTCCCTACAATACTCTGATGCCATGTTTATGAAGCTAATTAGAAGCAGAGGCATTCGATTAAGTGAAACGTATTACTCATTTTTTTTCACGATTACACGAAGGGTCACATGACTAAACATCTCAATTCTTTCATCCCCCTCCATTGCCAACTTCAAACAAGACTCATTTCTTTTAAAACAATTGCCTTCCATCTCAATTGTTCCCAATGGAAGCCAGGCTCATTTCCTGTTGAATTTTACACCATTACCTAGTGTGGGACTCTGTGGAATGGTAACCTAACCCTGAGCACTAGCTTCCATATGGCCGTTACACACCTTCCAGCTTTTTGTGGGTGTTTTTACACTACATCTGTATATGGCCGAAACCCCCAGGATAATTTGTCCATAAAATATACATCTGACAGTACCAGGATAATGAAGATGACATAACACTATGTCCCCCCACTGAACCATTGCATCTCATCACCAGGGAAATCTTTTTACATTAATAAGACATCTGCAGTCTATCTATAGAATATGAATATGGATATCACCATTTTTCACAACTCATCTCAAAGATACTTGTTTATGTAAATTATGGTTTTCTATAATATTTTCATATTGTGAGACTGAGACAGCTCGAGGTTAGTTCCTTGGTGGGATATCTCCATCTAGTTAATACATGACAAGTCGCTGTAACCTAAGACATAAGTATTGCACAATCATTCCGTTTTTATAAAAATACCTAACAATTATGTGCAGAAAGTTCAGATCATCCTCAAACAACAGCTGGTATAAAGTTTGAATTTTTTAAATTGAATGTTTTTCAAATACTGAATGCAATTTTTTGCGCATTCAGGAATTGAAGAGCAATATGGAAGGTCCTAAATTCTAGAATCTTGACAAGAAGAAGATCATTCACCAGCATTCTGGAATTTTGCAGAAAACCTTGAAGCACATGATCTATTTTATACCACACGACACTGCACACATCTAATGGTCCTTACCCTACAGTCTTCTCAAAATAACTTTAAGATCTTCCTAAAATCGTATGTATGAGAAATCCAGACACATATCATGGTCCTAGAGCCCCTACTTTACCCTCTCATCAAACCCCAAATCAAATATATTCAAATGAAATAAGCCAGTTTTTGGTTCAAATATTTACTGGCAGACATCTCTGTAAATTTCTCAAAATAACATCCTTTCATTGTAAAATTGTATATAAACAATTCTCCAGCTCACAAGCTCGTTCAAATGTAAATAATCAAAAATAGCTTGTTTGTAAAAGGTTATACCAAAACACATCTGGCCCTGATCGCAATGGAGTCCACATGATTTATAATGATGTATAGATTTATGGACTGTGTTTGTCAGAGAACTGTGTTTTCCTTCCATCATGTCTTGTTATTATCTTTATGGTCATAGTGTTCCCACAACATCTGTATATTCATACAATTAGTTGTAAAACTGTCAGCATCTTGCCCATACCATGATAGCCTAGTACACATGTAACCGCAGGCCATGATTGTGCATCAATAAAGTAATCAGACATGGCAGTGATGGCTATTTGATACACCTACAAAAGTAAATTGGCCATGTATCTACTTTATACCATTTATCATGATAGATGAATATGTCCATTTACATTACATGCAATCTGAATCATTGTGGACACAATTTGTTTATGTGCAACCTTTGACCTTTGACATAATCAACAATAGATAACATGTCAAATCATCTCCCCAAACACATGTTGTTTTTAAATCAACAACGTTTTTGTAACATATGCACCCTCAAATTGTAATAAAGTTTAGGTTATGAAACATGAACGGCAGATAAATTGAAGAACATACTGGTAGATGAAACTGATGACTCATTTAAAAAACATTTATTTTTATCCCCAAATACCTTGACAAACCTGCTTCTCAGTTTAACAATTCATTTATGCAACAAGCATGTCTGTTTTAATGAGATACCTCTCAAGGAAATACAAACATGTCATCATTCTTCACGTTAAAAAAGTATACGTATATGTTTACATGCATCCAATTATCAACATTCATAACTTGAAGCACCAAAAGCAAGTTTGACATAGACAATATCTTCCATCAGACTTAAACCCCCCAACGTCATCAACGAAAACCCTCTGCATCATCAAGTCAGTCTGTTGCTAATACATCTAGTCTTCGTAAATGGCCGACATACATTCTTCTACCATTGCCTAAGTACAGTGGAGCCAGTCTCTCCATACTAGTCTTAACCTCAAATGGCTAATGCCAGATACGAAAGTACACAACCAGTGCATCTGAAGAAAGGTTATGCCAGATTCACATGTGAAAATGATAAATATTTCGAAATGTCACAACAGAGGAAGCCTTGTAATATCTTCTTAACTGGCTTGTACCATCATGCTCCTTCACCAATTGATGGGAGTTAAAACTCTTGGCAATTTAACCCTAATGAGCAAAAGCGGGGGATTCTAATTATCTAAGATTTAATATTTTCAAGACATATTTGTAAGGGTAAATGTTAAACTGTTGTGACCTCAACTTCATTTTATCAACATCACAAAAATTGATATGTTGCCAAAAAGTATGCCTCAAATATCACATAAGTCTTGAGGAAGACGGTATCAGCAACATTTTTTACCTTGGATCTCAAGCTGCATACTGGAATAAGTATTCAAACCTTTATGTGTTTTTTATGACAAAAACATGTGCTTCTGAAAAACGCTTTTCATCTTTTTTAACACTTTGAAAAGTTTTCAAGCCCAAAATGTAATTCTGCAACAGGTGTACTAAAACTACTTTCCAAAATGTTGTTTAAAGGGTAATTGCCCTTACCTGATTCAGGAAGCAAGAGTCTGCCGCCATTACTGGTAAATGTACTCCAAGTGACTGCCTCAGCATCTATCGTACTTGGCAACTGCATCGAGATCATCGATTGACGACTATCCTGTAGTGATTCACATTGAGACATTGGTCTACCGCTGCCCATAGACGGCACTGATAAATTGCTTTTGTCTTTAATTGTCAATTTCTCCATAGAATTATTGACATTGTGGTTAATTGTAGGCTCCACCAAAAGAGTCTTGCTACTCTTGCCCAAAGTTGCGGAGTGTCTATGTTGTAGATTGTTGTCAGGAACACTGTACGCTGGTGGTTTTTCCATTGTGTTAACATGGTTGTTATTGGGTGAATCCCCTGAGTTGGCATGCTGAACTGTCACTACAGTCTGCGTTAGATCAGGCTGGACTGATAACATATCTGCAATTAAAAGAGAATTCAAATACATTTATTGAAAAAGAATTAATTTCCCGTCAAATCCTGCATAATTCTTAACTTCTGATTCTCTCAAAATCACAATTTTATGAAATTGAATCACATTTATTCATATTTGACACTGAAGCAATTTTGATGAATGGGAAAATGTCCGTCAACAAAATTGAACAGAAATTTAATTTTTCTTAAATTTAGAATTATCAATATCTTTAAATCCATTCCAGACATGTTGTCTTTTTTGATGGAGTGTGCAAACCAATTTCTCAAATCTAATCTATTAGCAATTCCAAATAGTCAATGGCATTTTCATCTCATATGACTCTGTTGCTCTTTCAAACAGGGTTAATTTTAAACAGTTTCGTGCAAATTTCATTTAAGTTAACCCAGCCGATTGAGTCAGAGACATTTTTTAAGAGACAGAGTGCTAAAATACTATATTTAACTGTCACAGTTATCTTGCCAATCCCCAGGGGGGTGGGGCAGATGTGACACCCTATCCGTCATTCCATCCCTCACCCCTTCTGTACCATATCGGTGCCATGCCCCTATCACCAGAGTTTAGGGGGGCCTCACCAAGCCCTATCCTGTTACCCTCTAAATGGGCTTTTAATGAGAATAAGAAGCCATCTTAGTTTAGATGATGAATAGAGTATGGTCAGCTCTTTCTTAAGATTCTGTGAAAAGCTTTGTCTTAGGCAACTTCAAAAGATTTGAAGTTATTAGTTCTAGCTCTGTGCTCTCTCCAAGTGTAAACATTTAATACCAAGTTCTCCTGGGATGGATTAAAACATTAAATAAATAACCCCACATCAAACCTTAACACATTTACATAAATGAAACAAAAATAATTAAAGGCTTAACCTAGGATGAATCTTATCATATTTGTCTCATCTTTGATAGATAATTTCATCAATTTTTAAACTGAATTTACACGTTTGAAGAAATGAAGAGACTTCAAAAATGTCTTTGTACACTTTAATGAAATTAGATCAAGTTCACTAGAAGTCTCAATTAGCAATTTTCTTTATTGAATGAAAAAATATTTGATCTTTTTCTAATAAAAGAAGTTGCAAAATGTATCAAAATTTAATTCATTCAATAAAATCGGTGTTTGTTTGGGATGTGATCGTAATGCTGAACTGTTAACAATGACAAATAGCTTCATGCATTAGCTGCATCCAAATATTCCCTACTCTTAAATCTGTCGAGCCTCCCAATCCCGAACACGTCCCCCCTTAATGAGCATGCTTCCCCTAGTTCCTCTGGCTTGTTTTAGGGGTCCCTTTGAAAGAGGGCGAGTAAAATGGCCTAGTGACAGTGCAAATTATCGGATTATTTCCATCTTAATCAAGTAATCTGTGTTCCCAGTCTTGTCTCTGTGCTCATCTAAATCAATCGCTCGTTCATGTAAATCAATTGTGTCTGTCACTGACTTCCTACTCTTGCCCACAGAACAAACAAACTGTGTTTATACAAAAGCTTATTAGAGGACCATCGCTGCTAAAAACTAACAAACTCAATGGCTGGATCAGAGAGACATTTCACCTCCTTAACAGAAGAAGAAAGACAATAACATTATGATGAGATCAAGTTCCATGACAAAAAAATTTAAAGAGACGCTAAGAGTCATTAAAGATTTGACCAGAACCAAAGTTGTTTAGGACAAAATTGCCTAAAGCGACATTTGGCGGCCATTTTTTCCCATGATGCAAGACTGTCTGGGGTCATGTGCTGACTCTGAGATGATGCAGACATAGAAAAAAGACATCATGCTTCTTCTGATTGGCTTCTGGTATTGACAGGGGAGTTAATGAGGTAAATACTTGTCCTCTGTCAGACCCTACAGCTGCCCCTGGGGTGGGGCGAGGGGTTCTGGGGGGTACTTATGGAGCCCTAGGGTTAAAACACATGTCCTGTTACGACCTGTGCCAAAGAATGCTACCCTTCTTGTCTTTGATTTCATTAATACACTGTTCAAAATGGTCGTGTGAGGTCCTGACTTTGGGTCTTTTGCTGTCATTGCCATGCTCACTGATTCCATTTAGGACATAAGGGGTTAATTGGATTATGGCGGCCCTTGCTTTGATCTCTAGTGTTTTTCTAATTAGGCTTTGTGACAAAGAAAGGTAATGACAAGTTCTGATGACAACCCAAATGATTGAATCTTTTAAACGTTTTTGATTTGAAAAAAACAACAAATCATGTCATTAAAATCTTTGTTCACTGTTTCCAAAGTTTTAATCATATTCATTTAATCAAACTGAACAAACCTCCATTTTTGCTGATCTTCTTCTCATCATCTCCAAGAGACGAAATATTTGCATCTGAAAAATGTTGTAATCAAAATATGACACTGAATGAAAATACTCATTAAGAATTTTCAAAGAGGCTTGTCAACTTAAACAAACTCGGCTTTCTAAATCGAATGAGTTATATTTGTGTTCTCATTGAACAAAAAATCTTGAAACAAAAAAATATAATAACAGTATAAAACAAAGCAATTTTGATAATTAAAGGACCCAGTCACTATAGTACCTATAATAACTGAGGTATGAAGCATTTGGGTGAATAAAAAAGTTCCTTAGGCACTCAAGGTAAATTAATAGTGAAATGAAAGGTAAAATGATCACAAACCACCTTTCTGTTATTATATAACATATTTTCTCTTGTAATCTCACCAGGTCGATGTCCATCAGAAAATGGACCTCTGTTCTGAGTTCGTTTCCGCCGCATCACAATGACGATGATGACGATTGCAATGATGAGGACAGCCACCGCAGCACACACACTGATGTATACCGGGATATTTTCATCATCTTCGGCTCGACTCGCTGCAACGCAAAGAAACCAAAACATACAATCAAGATATCTTAACTAAATCTAAAACATATAAATTTGGCAAAAGTAACTAACTTGAATTCCAATAATCATTATTTCCTTTAACATTATCAAGATTACAAGAAGAATGCTAGAAGAAAACTGCAATTTAATCTTTCGCATGACTTCAAATTTCAAGAAAGCATGGAACCAATGTGATCCAAGATGGATAACTGCTGACTTGGCTAAAGGACAGCTCAGTTACTCTTAGATAGGACAAATGAAAACAGTGACAGGTATAGCTGAAAAAATAACATAATTTGTGTTTATTTGTGTATTTAGTTGAAGCAGATGCAAAGAAAGCAAAACCAAGCATGATGCAAGAAGAGTTTGAGCTACTCCTAGAGAACATTCTTCCTTGATGACAAATATTGCGAGCAGATACCAGTTCATTTTTTTCAACAGTGGAAAAAGCCATGTGTTCTTTTATGAGTGGCATAATATGACCTAAAGTGCATTTGTCTTTGTTATTTATACAAACAGCGCCAAACTCTGTCGAGGCAAACTCAAACAATGTTGAAACTCCATTTTCCTGTTGGGTAAAGAATTGAAATTTGTTTTACTCCAGTTGAGAGGAAATACCACTTGAATAAATATAAAATCCTATGAAGGTCACTTGAATCTGCTTCAGGGGGAAACAAGGTCATCCTACACGTTTTAGAACACATTGGTGATAGTTATTGTTTTATATAGACATTTTTTTCAATATGACCTTAATTCATGCCAAGGTACAAACTCAGGCATCAAACGTCATGTGATATGAAGCAAATGTCATGTGACATGAAGCAAATGTCATGTGATATGAAGCAAATGTCATGTGATATGAAGCAAATGTCATGTGATATGAAGCAAATGTGGATCAGTTGTCTGCATAACAATATTTTATCTTCCATGTCAAGTTTTTATTATATTTCATTCAACATGATAATTCTATCTTTATGTGTGTTTAGTTTAGAAGCAGCTGGAGTATCAATGATGAGAGTACTGATGTAAGGATGTCAGCGTCTTATTAGAGACACCTGTACTGTCATGTCAGGATCACCTGATTCTTTCATATTACTACAGCTATTCTGTCATGTCATGACAGGATCACCTGATTCTTTCATATTACTACAGCTAATCTGTCACGTCATGACAGGATCACCTGATTCTTTCATATTACTGCAGCTTATCTGTCACGTCATGACAGGATCACCTGATTTTTTCATATTACTACAGCTAATCTGTCATGTCATGTCAGGATCACCTGATTCTTTCATATTACTACAGCTAATCTGTCACGTCATGACAGGATCACCTGATTCTTTCATATTACTACAGCTAATCTGTCACGTCATGACAGGATCACCTGATTCTTTCATATTACTGCAGCTTATCTGTCACGTCATGACAGGATCACCTGATTTTTTCATATTACTACAGCTAATCTGTCATGTCATGTCAGGATCACCTGATTCTTTCATATTACTACAGCTAATCTGTCACGTCATGACAGGATCACCTGATTCTTTCATATTACTACAGCTAATCTGTCACGTCATGACAGGATCACCTGATTCTTTCATATTACTGCAGCTTATCTGTCACGTCATGACAGGATCACCTGATTCTTTCATATTACTACAGCTAATCTGTCACGTCATGACAGGATCACCTGATTTTTTCATATTTCTACAGCTAATCTGTCATGTCATGACAGGATCACCTGATTCTTTCATATTACTACAGCTAATCTGTCATGTCATGACAGGATCACCTGATTCTTTCATATTACTGCAGCTAATCTGTCATGTCATGACAGGATCACCTGATTGTTTTATATTACTACAGCTAATCTGTTATGTCATGTAATGAGAGATGTACTGCAGTAATATGAAGAATTGGGCGATCCTTAACTTCTTTTAGTAGTATATAAACGAGGAGGAGCTGCATAGTTCTTACAAAGTACAATTAAGATCCTGAACCCGATTATGATTCCATGTCTTTCCTACTCATCCCGAAGCGTTGATACGGTGTTTGACTAGCGTGTCATCTGTGTCTGGCCAATAAATTCAACTTCACACTTCTCTCCGACCTAGAGGAATACTGCTTTATCCCTGGCTATTTATTATGCAAGTAAATGGGCAATTGCAAGACCACTGTCTACTCAACTTGAGACTAAGCTATATTTGTTCCATGCATTATAAATATGGCTTTTTAGATTTCTTTGAAGTGGAAATCTTGAACTGAGTACATGGTGCTGAAGTTAAACCACAAACAGAATACCTGATGGGTTTCATTTACAACTTGTAACAATCACTACATCATTTCGGCCATTTTAGTAGCCAGAATAGGTCAAGATGCCTAAGTGACTATGGTGATGAAATAAAGTGTAGTCTGCATGTAATATTCATAAGGTTTCTACCAACCGGGGACATTATTCTACAGTATATGTGCAGGAAAATGATATTTTGAGACATTTGCTCTTCTTGTTCTGGGAGGTGTGATAGAAGAGAGGTCTGACCTCCGGCTGTCAAAACAGACAACTACCTTCCAAACAACTAGTCTTACCTATACTGTATTCTTCTGGGATGAAGCGGAGGTTTAATGCCACTTTCAACTGTATTTTACTTGAATTAAGGCAAAGTGGGCACGCCGTAGTGTTTCCCACACTGGTTAAAAACTTGACTTTCGTATGGTGTTAAGCCTAATGATCATAATGGGTCAAATCAGGGATTTGAAACCCCTGATCAGCAGTACTGTAACCTAACAACTCACAATGAATAAGAACACATACATTTTTTTTTTTTTTTTTGTGCATTCAATTATGTTACTTATAACCATACATAACATCTATATTGAATTTCAAGCATCTGATTGAGTGTCAGGGACTTAATGTCCAACTAACAATTATCTGGCAGTTGTTTGGAAAGTAGTATCTGTGACAAATGTCTCCCATGTGTGGAGAAAGATGCCAGCTGTGGTATTCAGATGGTCAGGAGAGACAAAGATTCCTTGTTCAAATTCAGAGGATGTTGTTGGGAGAGTGTCAGTAATTTACTGCCTGTAGATAGTATGCAGGGAAGAGTGGAGTAATAATTTATAACCTCTGACATGAGATGTGACAGTTACATTTAAAGTTGGGCCTTGACCTTACACTGACCTTCATTATGATGAACTTTGATATGTACAACATTACTGAGGGTCAAGGTCAGAACAATAATCGGATAATAATCAAAATCTAATTTTGATCCAAGAATCATATTTCTTTTTTGCTGATTTGAAAAATTGATTATTGAAGCATCATACTAATGCCCATCCTGCTAATGATTATCCCTCCAATAATTATTCCACATGTATATAAATATTTGAATTTTTCAATTTAATTTGGAAATAAACATCAATTTTCTTCCACTAAATGTATTCTTCACAACTACATTTAGCCATGGCAATGTTCTCCACATTAGCAATATACGCTTCATGTGATCTGTTAAATAGCCTAGATATTTGTAAAGACAGCCTACATTTCAGTTTGGGAGACTATACTCAGCTACAGCCAGACGCCAATTTCCTTTGCCGTTCCGATTCCTGGTGATGTGCAAATAAGCTTCCAAATAATTGGAAAATCCATAGGAAATCAGAAAATGTGTGCAGTGAATTCTAACATAGAAAGATCCACCAAAGATAGTCAGCTTGTCTTTAAACTTAATCAGCAAATGCACAAAAAATATGTAGGATCAAATTTGGACAGGAACTAATCTTTTCAGGGTGAAAAATGGCAGCTTTGGTTCAAACTGGGAGGGAACCTCTGATAACAATCACATAGGAAGCAGGACGGAGTACAAACATCATTTCACATCATAAAATAGAATTAATCAGATCTACATGAGTGAAGGAGAGACTATCACTCAAAGCCAATGTAATACGCAGATGTTATTCAAGACTTAGTATAGTGTTATCTTCCTCTATCTTCCCCCAATCTCCTTCTCCTAAATTAATCTCAGGAAATGGCTGTTGATAAAATGGAGATAAATATTTCAGGACTTTGAAGATTTGAAGCTTGTCAAAAGTTATGAGAAAAGTGGAATATTTTCAGCCGGGGACACAGGAACTCTCTAAATGTTTGTTATCAAAATCTTCACGTGTGAAACTGGCATGATTTGTGGTCATATCAAATATCTGAATTCTGCCCAAGAGTGCAATGCTGAAGAAATAGGAAAATGTGCTGAAAATCTTGACAGAAACAATTAAACTAAACTCCATATTTGGTTCTCCACATTCCCAAGATCCAACAGTGTCAATGAGACAAATGATCGAGTATGGTAATAATAGGGGTAAAAAACACAAAAACATGCATGTGCCCTTTTTTAACCCTCTCAATCCACATCACTCCATGCAATAATAATTAATTTCCAAATCATCTTGTATACACTAAATTCACTTAATTCTCTATGCAAAGCATGCTAATTTGACAGGTCAAAGGTCAAATTATGCATAGTCCCTTCACCAACATCACAACATAGTGCACTGACCTTCATGGGATTTTTCAACAAAGGAGTTCGATTCTGAAATGGCAACACAAAATCATAAGTTCACAAATTCAAATATCATCCTCCTCCTTGCTACATTGTGCCCTTGAAACCCTAGTTTACTGTCATCACCTGATTGTATCGATACATACATAGCTTGTGTGGTATATTCCACATGTATCATGTACCAGTAACGCGCACAAGATCATGTCTAAAAGGGTTCACCTCTATTACTTGGATATATAAACAGTTCTGAGAAAATATGAAATATGTTGAGCTCACGAACTCCTTCCTTGGGTACAAATCATCAAACCCATATGTCACTCTTAAGCATTTCCAGTTTTAACAAACAATTTCTTCTTTTACGACTACACAGCTCAATATCCAATCACAGACAGTTGTTTTTCCACTGTGGGATTTATTTTAGTATACAGTGTGCATAAAATGGTCACAAAACTAAAAGGGTTGCTTGAAGATGCTAATTACAAAATGTCTTGAATGCTTAAAGCTTGTTCCTTCCCAAGATTCAGCCTGGTATACAGAAGCTACCCTAATGCTTCCTAACAGATGGGGATATTATCTCCAAGACAATAAAACATATGAGAGGCAGCCAGGCACAAAAAAACTCTTTCTAAATGACTTCTCCCAGATATGTCGAGGAACTCAAAGGAACACTCACTCAAGCAGAGATAAGCAAGGCCTGTGGCCAATCACACAAAGCATCAATATATCAGGTTTTTGCAGGTATTCTTTTCTACACTCCATGCAGTACACTATCGTGTCTAGTCAAATCGGAGATCATGACATTACACCAAATTAGAATCATCACATCATTACTTAAAAACTTTTTATCAGTAGTCATGCTATTCAGGTATCCTTGATGATGTCATCAATCACATTAGAAATAGAAACGCAGCGTTCATTTTAGAGTTGGATAACTTGAAAGTTTCCATCATTTTTTTATAAAATTTATTTTTGATGAATGTTACAAAAAATGATGGATGATTCTTTTTATCAAAGTTGGTGCTACTGGTTGTAACACAGGTGTCTTGCTAAAGACATGGCCATCATCACCATATATCAAAAAGAGTAAATCGAAGATAGTATAGTCTCACAGTCCCATAGAATCCGATACATAGCAATATTTGCCATGGGATGATATGAGTGTGATGGTGATATGGGTTTCTTCAATGCCAGTCTCCGCATCTATTTGGTGTCTGTGACGGGTATCTACATGAACACATGATGATGCTTGTTGGTTAGTGAGGGAGTGTTTAGTTCTGTAGGGGATGGTTAGTGTGAGTTAGGACAGGGAGGAGCTACAGGGAAGGGTCAGTCGGGCTACACACATATAGGACAGTAGTGGACAATCAGCCTTGACCACAGCGGTCTGTCTGGCCTCTTCTCAATCTATAGCTTACCTATATCTTTCCCTGGTTTCTTTGACACTGGTTTTCTTGGGGCAATTTGTCTTTTTTCTGAAAAGCCAAATCTTACATGAAATATTTCTCTTGGTTAAGCCAAAATTACTCCACATGGTCTAGCTTCTACAAGGGCCCAGGGAGGTGCATGAGAAGTCTAGTTCTATGCAAGGAAAATGAAAAGCAGTGGAGGGGAAAAAGATGAAAAGACAAAGAGGGGATGATCGATGAAGCACGTAATTCTGTGAATGTAGAGATGTGATAACGCTTGCAGCTCCAAGAATAATCCCATCCTCAAGTCAGACAGCGGATCAAGAAGACGAAGCTGGTTGAAAACAAATTGTCCTAAAATGACACCATCTTGTAGGAAAGCCTGATAGCAATGTCCCCTGAGACTGGGTGACTAACACAGACACCATGCTGCCCCCACAGACATTCAACTGCGACATACTGCCATTTCTTATTAAGAAAATTGAATAGAGATGGTGTCAGTGCATATCCCTGTAGCAGCCCTGTCTTAGACACACAGAGACAGGGGGCGCTTCTCACTGTGCACAGGTTACTGTGTGCTCGTTGTCACTGATTATGTGTCTGCATTGTAGCCGATTACTTGCACACACGCATGCCAAATTCGGAGCGGCATATGAAGCTTTTTATGACCACTACTAACTGTGTCATCAAATAAAATTTAAATTCATGCTTGACTGAACTGCCTGTATTCAAGATGAATATCTCTGATCAAAATGACAAACCTTACCTAATGAGATGGCGAAAACTCACTTCTCAACATCAATTAAAACTGGTGTGTGATTCAAGTTAAATATGCTGAAAGCATTGGCTCAGTTCCTGTAGCTGAACAGTTCACAAAAACATCTTTCATACATGAATGGAGATATTTTACCTGGGACTATAAAACTGCATCAAACAGAATTATGAAGAATGAAATGGTTTTTTTCCTTCATTAATTGCAAAAATTTACCCCAGTTCGATGGGCCCTTTGATCCCCTAATCTTGCTAATCTCTATGAAAAGGCAATTTGATCGTGCCATTATCTTGATGGCACATGGCACAAGATGTGACCACTTTGAAAAACAAAACAGGAAATATGTTTTTTGACTGTAGTGGTATCTCTTCTAATATCAAAAGCCCTCAATTCAAATCACCAAAACATGCAGTTTAATTGAGGGTTTGGGTCAAATAGGTTTTAACTACATGAAAATGCATTTGCCGGATTAACTTCAACTCAGTTTATCAATGCATACTAATTTTCAGGAAGATATTTTCTCATCGAATGTAAATTACTAAACGTTTGTTCATAAACATGCAAATATCCCATGATGTTTTCAGACCACAACTCTTGTAAATACGAGAGCATATCATTTGTGTCGGATCATGTTACTGGGACATTGTTGTGTCCAGGTGCCAGGATTTAATGGCTGGACCTTATCCTGGACAGGGTAGATAGCAGTAATCTTAACAACGTCCCATCATAACAACTGCCACAGGTGCACACCTCTGTAGTCCATATATCACACCATAATGGCCATTGTGATCATAAAACTAGTAACAGATAAACATGGTCAGGTATGGGGTAGGACAATTCACAGAGTGGACAAAGATCAAAGGGCACTAATGATATTGTGATTTCTTCTACCTGGGAGGAAAATAAATATCCATAATTAATGTTGCCATTTTGTGTTGCATGAATGGCCATTACGAAGCATTCAGAAATAATATATATGTACTGTTATGGTGGTAGTTATTCTGGCAACAAAGTAGCCATTGACATTAAGTGTATTGTTTCAATTCCTCTTGCTGAACAAAAAATAACAAAAAGCTGGCTAAAAACAAAAGAATTATAAAGACATTTTTTTTATGAAACACAAAACTGTTTTAAAAAAAGAGATTTAAAAAAACGAAACCAAATCTACAGCTGCTTTAACATAGAGTTCAAATAATTACTTTCCACACCAAGAGACCCCACACTTTACCCTCTGACTTGTCAAAATGAAATCTGAATCTTAAACAAACTGCATGGGTCAGAGACGTGGTCAACTATGGATTTGCCTGGCTTGTGAGCTGTATGTAACTATGTGAATTCATTACACACCGAGTATGATTCATATGTATGCACTAAACCCAACACACATGGGGGGTATGGATTTCATGACAGAAAATTTCATCCTCCTCTCAGTTTCCAGAAGAGCTCAAAGGGGGAGATAATTCACAATGACAGCTGCCTGCATACTTAGTGACCACTCAAGCAGAGGGATATATATCTTGATAATCAGATAAGCCAGTTGGGGTTCCACAATTCTGCAAATAAATACTGAGGAAATATTTCCAACTGCAACTGATATGTTGGTACATGGCCGGGCTGTTCAGCTGGACAGCTGTGGTACTGCTATCCATATCACTATCGGCAATCTTGACCACTGAAAGGCTTCAGTATGAAATTTTATCTTTCCATGGAAGGAATTTCTTAATTTCTTTGTGTGTTGACATACTCAGCTTGTTAAAAATAATGGTCAGATAATATTAATTACTGCCACAAGTTCACAATGCCCAGAGACCATTCCAACCTTGTGGTGTCTAAACACACTGAGACCTCAACATAATACTGAAAATACACCTATCGGTTTGAGGTTTGAAATTCAAGACTAAGACTTCCTAAAGATCAACAAAAGGTTTGGCATCAATGAATTATCCTTACTTAATAAAACTAATATTGACAAGAAAACTAATATTGACCAGAAACATCTAGAACACTTAAAATTGTTTTGCAATTATGCAGATTAAGTCCTGTCAGTAAGTTCTACTTACAACAGTTATTAAAGTATATTGTATTCACAATCTATTTTAACACATTTGTGTATGAATTACATTCGTGTATCATCTAAAATTTAACTTTTGAACACCTTGAGATAAAAGTGGTTGTATTTATCAAGCTGCCCCTAACAACCTCTTCACCTGACAAATCACTGCTTTTGAATATGAACCAGTATGACAGTTTAATTTAAAAAAACAAATACACCTTGTGGTACGTTGCCATATAATGAGGAATAATTGTGTTGGGTTCAAGGTGGCAGATATTTGAAACTAGCACCATGAAAACAGCAATTTCCAATCTGAAAATCTGTCATCTGGGAGATGGAGTGCCTTCTCGACCCCTCTACTGCTGCTGGGCTGGGATAGCCAGTTCAACATGTAGCATGTGGATGGAGTTTTTTAATTTGTAAATCCATGACATCCAAAACTTAAACTTTAGACAGGATAACTTACATTAAAACAGGAATAAAGATAGCTGAGGGAACTTGGGGAATAATATTAACGTAAATTATTAAATGTCACTCACCCCCATCTCTCCATCTGAACCTTATACTGACACATCAGGAACGCCCTACTGTTAGTACATGATTTTTTTGACTGGTACATATATATTTGATGGTTGTAGAGCCATAAAAAATAATTCAAACTGACAAAATGACTCCTGCTTTGATAATTCACCAGTCTCCTTTCAAAACTAATCTCTAAGCTGCTTATAATTCTTCAAGTCGATTACTGAACCTTCAAGGGAGATAATCTGTAATCTACTTCCTCTATCATGAAGACTCAGCTGTCAAAGACTGAGAGTTGATGCCAGGTGGGTATCCCCGATAAGATGGCTCTTGTCATACAATGATGGAACAACAAGCTTGATGAGTCAATTTATCACTGTGAAAAATATTCATGACAGGTTGGTAAGATACTTTGATCAGACGAAAAATGTTCCTTAATCACCAAGCCCTTAATGGATCAGGAAATCCCGGTTTATCAACATGTTCAAGATCAGAAAATATCCCAAGATGGATATGTCTGAAGAGACAGTACTGAAGACAGCTGAGAAACGTTGATAAATGCAAAATTTCACATTGCGGTTCACAAACTCAATACATTTTGATAATGACAAACATTAACTGATAAAAGCATATCCATCAACCAGTGTGATATCTCTTACAAACAGTCATCTTAAAATCATCTATACTTGGACAAGATGTCCATGAGCATTGGATTCCCGGCCCATAATGGTTGTTGAACGTATTTGAGTTACATATGCTCTTACAACTAATGGTGTTTGGATGTTAATGATGTTTGGATGTTATTTCTGCTCAGTGATGACACAGGAATCTCAGCTTACTGACTCTTTCCTGGTATACAATGTTTATTCATACCATGAGGTGTTACAACACTGATCTTATGCATTGTTAAAAATGTTCACCAGACTAAGGAAATTTCCAACATCGATTTGTTTTATCTTAAATTGTTGTTGCATGTTTGTTTAGTCAGATTTAAGTAAGTCTGGTTTACTGCATACTTTTTTGAAACCTGTAAATCAAGGAAAGATGGATGCATAGCATATTTGTTGGCATAGTATTATACGCTCAAATAGAAACTCATTCAAGGCAAGGCTTTCAGGTTATATAGTCACATTATGCAACATAAGACATACACCCTTGGTTTACACTCAGAAGCACAGGAAGCAAATTCAGCAGAATAGGCATAAAGAATTGACAAATCAATATAAGACATCTCATATCATGGAATATCTATAATACTTACAAGCATTTTATACTTCATAATAAGCATAATTAAATGTGCCCTTTCAGTAATATTCAAATCATCTTAAATGATGAGTCTTTACTTCAAGGGAGCACTGTGATTTTTTAAATAAGGCAAGATGCAAAGAGTGATTTAAAAGCAAAGTATGAAATTCATAACTATAAACAAGGCAAAGCAATAATTATCATATACAGAAAAACAGAAACATGCCAAAGAGAGGAAGAAAGAAAAGACAACAAAATAACGAGTACCTCTGCACATTCCCCCTGTGCAGTTTGTGGTGTCAAGGTCATTTCCATTGCAATAATCTCCGCCATTGGTCGGTTTGGGATTGTCACATGACCTTCGGCGATGATGAATACAATCGGGACTACAAGTAGACCAGGACGACCAAGGCGCCCATAAGCCATCAACTAGAAAATACACGGGAGCCGAAGTTAATACGCTAGGCGACAGAAATTATCGTGTTAATTTCCAAAATATTTGCCAATAGGCGAAATGTTAGTTGAAACTGATAGAGCAGAATTGTCTCTATAAAAAGCACATTTGAAGTTTAATCTTAATCAATTTCGTCTGCAATAAAAGTCCAATAAAATTTTCAATGAGTTTTCTGGAAATGAATTATCCATTTTGTCAGGAATGTTTTTGCAACAGGTATGAATTAGAATCCCCCCGTATTGACGCTGTGGTTGGGTTGACTCTGACAGTGGCTACAGACGGGAGGGACAGACCAGATCGGAGATGAAGATGTTGAGGTGCCAAACCAAAATCAACAGAAAAACTTCACAACAGTGCTTTTAAAGGGCAAAACAATGAAAAATGTTATAAAACTCTGTGAAATATCAAAGGAACAAAACGATGACATCTAAATGAGATATAACAATATACAAATGAGAGTGAAAGAAAATACATGGTAAAGTCACAGTGCTCCCTCAAAATAAGGCTTTCTGAAACTTAAATTGGCTACAAGCACTGTTTCCATAGTTACCTGAAGTGTGAAGAACCCAGGCTTGTCTTTGTGGTACTCACATCACAAAACATGCAACATTTTGGTGTGGTCACAAGTGTATTCCATGCAACATATTGTATAGTTGTGAACAATATTCCACAATAAATCTACATTAGCCTGAAAGTACCAACAAACTTGCACAACAAAAACCTACCCTTTCTGAAATCGAAATTTATAATCAACAGAGATTAATTTTTTCTGTGTGTACCACACTGACCAAATAGGTAATCTTGGGGTTTTTCAACACATATTAATATGTGTAGGATAATAGTTTCTAGTGATGAGTATGCATGAAACGATGAAACTTCACACTTCAGGCACTACAGACATTGTACAACACATTATTGCAATCAGATGCCTGATTATGAAGGAGTACTGAGTCTGTATAGTACAACATTGACATACTTCAAATTCATGATCAGATTTTTTATCAAGTATATTTTTTTAACACATTTGAACTGACCTCATTTTGTTTGTTTATGAAATTAATGACTAAAACACAATAAACATAAACATCATGTTGTGTGACATGTCTCAAATTGTTTGTTTCTTTAAATGAATATCTTTATAATTAGCAATTAACATAGGCAAAATTATTACTACTTTTGTTAATAAGGAGGAATTACAATCAAAAACTGAACTTTTAAGATATCCTTTGTTATCTTGGCAGACCCCTGATTTTTTAAAAATCCCCCACAAGCTGTCAAAGATGTTAAACTATCAACAAATCAATAGTTCACCGATAATGTTAACATTTTATTACAAATGAATATGCCCTCATCACACCTGAAATTTCCCCAAAGACTTTGTTTAATTTGAATTCAGTGTAAAAAAGTCAGATCTTCATTTCATTTGACATTTCAAGTTATCGCATAAGGCCATGACATATGCCTTCCCAGATGCTAGGTTTAGGCTCTACATTCAAATTTAACTCAACTTAACACCCTTGCTAATTTATCAAGTGTAATTTCATTAAATGAAGCTGATTGAACCTTAATCCCCCGAATCGTTCATCTATTACATAATTCTTGTCTCAATCTCGTCAATTTCACTCCAAGAGAGAAATCGGTAACACTGTTACGTAAAATGATTATGTCACCATTCAAATTCTTCACCTTAACAAATGTTACCCATTAATTACAATTTAAACCAAAAGGTCCATGTGCAAGAACAAAGAACTGAATTGTGATAGATGTATCACCTTTTGATAAGAATTTATTCCAACTATCAGAATCCACAGTAGATATAAATAGATATATATTTGCTCTGAATGGTGAAAAACAGTTCCATAAAATTAATCTAAATTGAACTCCAATCTCCTCTATCTTTCATCCGTGTTTCAAGATGCAAACTGTTTATTTTGTCTTGTTTCATCATACAGGGTAAACAAACACATGCATGCTTGTCAGGGGCTATTTATTTAGATGGATTAAAGTTTTAGCAGGTTACAAAGTTCACCACATGTCTTTGATCTGCATACCCAAATTAGAATATCAAATAATTTTACTGTTTACTGAAATGTCTACATGGAATGTTACTGTCAGCTCGATGTCCATTTCATCTTGGTCATGTCAGTTTACATGCGATTTCGCCTGCTGATATTATTCAACTTAAATATCTCGAAGAAACATAAGCTACTCAGCTCACTGAAAAATGTCCCAGGTATTTATAACCATAAATATCAGCAAATCTTATTAAAAAAATTAACATTATTCAGACCAAATCTGATAGGCTTCTCAAAATTGAAGGGTATGAAGTAAGTATTTTAAGTTCTTATGATAAAATCTAAATTGAATAAATTTCTCAGAGAATCTATTAAAAAGGGGGATCATTTCCAAATAAATCTTCTTTGGCTCCAGTGACTTGCTGGTAATCAGCTGTTAAAGCTTACTTCAGTGGAGGGTGTGTGTTTGGGGGGGTTGGGGGGTTTAAGGGGGTAAAGAAGATGGAATGAGGGGTGATGGAGTAAATGAGGAACAGGGTGAGGTTGGAGCTGCTGTGGAGGGGATGGGTGGGGAAAGTAGGGAGGGGTGGGTCAGGAGTGACAAACAGGGAGTGGCATCTTCAGATAGGGGGAGACAATGAGAAGGAAGCTAGGAGAGTAAGGGTATTCAGGAAGAGGGGTGGTAATGGACAAGGAGAAGGAAGCTGGGAGAGTAAGGGTATTCAGGAAGAGGGGTGGCAATGGACAAGGAGAAAGGAAGAGTCGTCAGAACTGAAACTGGGCAAAAGTGGAGAGGTGAGGTGGATAGGGGTGGGATTAGGAGGGAGGGAAGGAGGGAGAGAAGAAAGTTGGGTGGAAGAGAGTCAAGGAGGGAGGGAGGGAGAGAAGAAAGTAGGGTGGAAGAGAGTCAAGGAGGGAGCACATGATAACAGAAAATTGGAGAGACAGACAGCCAAATGTGCAAGGAAGAATGAGGGAGTAAAAAACATGCCCAAGGAAAAAGGAAATGTGGAGTTCAGGACAAGGAAAGCGTGGAGTGGTGAGGCAGGAAGAATGAGGAGGGGGAGGGAAGGAAGATGGGGAAGAGTGGTGAGATGAGGAATAGCGAGGGTAAAGGCAGGCACACCAGAAGCAGAGGCTCAGGAAATTGAAGGCAAATGTGGAGGTCTACAAGTCTGAAGAAGAACTCTTTCCATCAGTGGATCCTTCTCATTGTGGGAAATTTGGTTTATATGGCTCTGATTTAATCAGCAGCCAATTACCTATATTAGTCGTGTCTCCATCATGAACTCCTGTCTAGACGAGGGGCAAACTTACACCATGTTCAAGACACAACATTCCACTTGGCCCTCGTTTTCTTTAACCAACACCAAAAGCAGGCCAATTGCAAAGTAATCTTTTTATATGAACCTTGAAATTTCAGCCCATGAAAGTTTAGGGAGATTGCCTTTTTCCTCCCGGGAAGATTCAGAACAATAAGAAGGAAGTAGGATGGTTAATGGAAGTCTCGCCAAAAGCCACTCTAAATTCCATGATGCGTATATTTTTTCGTGCCCCATCGGAAGTCAACTTTTATTCAGTTGCACCAGAAAGGTGTAAATATGTCTTATAAACATCTCCCTATCCATTCCATTGATTGCCAGTCTACATCATGAAAGTACTGAGTGATCAGCCATTGATGATACAGGAAGGAGTGACATAATTAATCGTCAATATAAGAAGAAAACTCATGTTCACTGTTAAGTTAATTATTTAGCAGATTGTTAATTATTGTTATATATTTAGTGAGCCTTTCACCAATCTCAAATTAAAACTATTATTTACTATCATTCTCCTAAACCAATAATTTGCAAATTTCCAAGCAGACCATTATTTTCCTAAGACTGACAAACTGCATCACATCTCTGCTAAACTAAAACAAAATTAATGTCATGCTTTTACATGTGATTAGTAGAAAGTACATTAGCGTTTCAGAACTCATGAATCAGACAAAATCTTTTTTAACTAAATGATGATAAATGTACATTTCAAGGTCTCATGAGGTAAGCTGGAGTCAGTTGTAAGGCAGATAATACATCTCAGCAATAGTCATACATCATGTGACCTAGTTTTAAAAATAACCAGAAAAATGTTACGTTCATGAGGACACATTTTATGTGTTTCTTAAGAGAGAATAATGATATTACTAATAAAGAATTAGCACTTATGCACTAACTTCCCTTATTACCCATCTATTGTACAACATTTTCAAATTCTCGACATACATATCACTTACTTTAAGATTTCAAATAATTGCCTACATTTCCGTAATCTGCAATTATTTAGCCATTTTGATCATCAAAACATGTACGTTATGACATTATTCCTTTTCAGCAACACATAAATATATCATTTGTGACAGTTACAATACCTTCAATATTACAATTCTCATGCTTTATTCATTCAGACCCTCCCTAATCTTGTTTCAAAAGGTTTTTGTGAATTACTTTTAATTGATGGAGAACACAAATGGGTGTGCAAGCTCCGAGACAAACACCAGGTAGTGACCTTTCCTCATACTTTTATCCGTTCAAGCAAACAGTAAGATATAATTAGTTGCGTGGAGAGTAGTACAAAGATGTCCATGCTATTTAATGTCACTAGTGTTCCCTAATTACCTGTTTTCAGTAACTAGTTTTGTTCAAGACCTCGAAGGAAAAGTGGTGAGCTGAATGTAATCTGAATACATATAATGTACAATAAGGAAGCATTGTCAAAGACTAGCCCAGTGCATTCTGGGAGCTGATCAAAATGGCTGGTCAGAAGGCTGGAGCCTCACACTTGATCTGTAGTCAGTTTGTCGGACAACCTGCAAGCATGGCAAATGATTCCATTTTCACCTAAAATTTTCCTAAGTGGCTATCCTGTTCTTGACACTTGTGATGCAATGTTTCAGTCCTGAGGATTGTGATCTGCTACAGAATGGCGCCAGTTAGGTGTCAGACATATTTTTTTTGTCTGCATATTCCCTGGACATGAAGTGATTGTTCGTCGACATGCAACGGATTCTGTCAGTAATTCTCATGATATCAAATCTTTAGTTAAAAATACAGTCACAGTAATTTGATTTTGAAAAATTTGCAAGTAAATTGAAAAATCTTCATTTGAGTTAAAGAATTAAATGTCTCTCCAACTATCTCTTCTCAACTTGCAGCACTCAAAGTTTGAAATTCATCAAGGACAAGGCAGTGAAAATGTTTAAACATCTGTTTCTTTTAAACTTGAAGTCTACAGATTTCTTTAAAACTCACCAAATAATCTTTTCATCAAAATGTTTTATTTTCCATTACATTTGCGAGTATTCACCAGAGAAAAGGCTTCTTGTGTATAATTACATAAAAAGCAAAAATCTAGTATAAACATTTTCACAAAGTGCCATTTTGTTTAAATTTCTGACTCACATTATCTTGAATTCAATTTTTTCAAATAGATTTGCAAGTTATCTTCTCAAGAAAAGAAAATACAAAATAACCATGAATCTTTGAAACTTTTATCTTCCCATAAGTCAAAATATACTTAGGAGCTCAGGAAACAAACAGGTTAGGCTTGGGACGAAGACACTACGGTGCCATTACAGTGATGCTACTCTCCTCACTGCAACATAGTAGGGGGCAACAGTAACACCCTTAATGATTGATGGACACAATGAGTCCATTTCTGGTGGAGGCAAATCATAGGTTAGTAGATGTCATGTTAACTCTGTACATTCATAAACAAATTATTTATGAGTAGGTTTTCTAATATTTTGCTTCTATTAAGTCAGTAATCAAACTGAGTATATCGTTCTTATTGATTTTATGAATGCACTGTGGAGGACCACCAGTGAGAAATGGTCTGTTTACGAGTATGTATCTTGGACACTGCATAATTCATTACCTACTCTCTAACCTTAGGGCAAAGGTACTACATAACCTGATTTAGGACATATTGATTGATTGATAACTTACTTGAGGCAAGGTTCAAGCAGAAACAGTCACATGACTAATCCCTGGATTATCAGATTAAGTATTTTGATATGTTAATTTTATATTTATATCACGTTGCCTGGCAACAGTTTTAATAGTTTTGCATTTCTTTTTAAAGTGCATGTTTTGTTGCATTTTTTTTATTGCGAAATGAGTTGAAACTAATTGACCTATCATCAATGATTACAGCTATTTACAAATAATGGCCCTGAACTAAGGATTATGATTGGTACACACCCTATTATTGATCCTACAAATGATAATTATGTAAATGATCTATTGAAGGCTCAACAGCATGGAGACAATTACATCATTAGGCAGTGTTTATAAGCTGAACCTTTCTTAATGACACTGAGCTCACTTTGTTTGAAGAATTTTTTTTTTTAATGACAACAATAATATTAGAATATAGTGGCATAATCATTTCTCAATTGTCATGTGTGACTAGTTCACTGGCAGTGAAAATCATGTTAATGAAGACTATAGGGAGATCGTTGTGTTAAGGTTTACATCATATCAAGCCCTTCCTTAATTAACCCCTTTAACTTGAAGCTATCCTCAACAGGGTACAAACTGTGTATGGAAATTATGCTAAAACGGACACGCTTCCTACTACAGAGTTACACAAGGCAGCTATGGAGGACATGGTGTTCTCACCTGGGCAAATAGCAGTGCAGGGACTCTGCTGCACAGCCTCCCCAGAACAGATGTTGCCGCCGTTCAGGGGGGCGGGGTTGGTGCAGGTGCGGGTGCGCCGTTGCTTGCCCTTGCCACACTTTGCTGAACAATCCGTCCATGAACTCCATGTTGACCAACCACCATTCACTGCGAGGAAATAAGTGAATTTATAAATGATCAGTCCTTCAGCTACTCACTGCTGAACTCATTTGAGGAATCAAACCATATCTGTGCCCTAAAAGAAAACACATCCCTAATGGGCTACTCAAACTCTTCCTTATTGATTTATTCTCAATTAGGTTTTTTATATCATTAGGACCACATATTTTGCTACTCATAAACATTAACATAAAAACGAAACGTTGTGACATTACCAAGACTTATCTAAGCGTATCCAAGATCCATAAATCAGTTCTCCAAATCTTTACTTCATTCAATATATATATTCATACACATCACATGTGTCTGAGAGTAAATTACGTCTTTAATATAATTCTGAATGGGGAAGCCGAAACTAGCCGTCACTTTGTGGAACAGAACCAAGGCATTGAGTGTGACAGTTCACTGCACTAACCACTCCCCCTCGCACTCCATCCGTCACAAGAGGGTGGCATAAACATGATGACTGTTGAACCTAGGTTCCTATCTCAGTGTTTTCCTTTCACCAAAGTGGGCACTGCTACCTCTCAAAGCTCCTAGAAACTACAGTATCAAACAGCCATGTTTACACACATTTCACATCCTAAACCTCAATAAGGAAAACATTTGATAATCTTTACACCCCCTGGGTCTGGAGACTTTCCTCCCATTTCAAAGAATGTTCACATAGAATCCATCTTTCACTGCAGATTATGATAACATATTTCATAGGAAAAAACAAAAAAACTGACAGGCTAGATTAAGCTTTGGTAGGCTTGGTCACCACCCGTAGCCACTGTTGTGCTATCAACATTGAACCATCTCTGGGTAAGTCTCCCTTATAAACAAATTCATGATAAATGCTAGGTTCTATATTGCTATAATACATCACCGGGGTTTTTTTGCCTTTTTTATCAGTTTTGGCCCTTGAACATTAACACACTCGGACAAGCTGAGGTGTCACATGACGCAATTTATCTCTTCTGTTTTATAAACAATGAAAGGCAAAACATCCCACTAATTTCACTTTCTGTGGCAGAGTGTGGATTAAACGTATCATTCAGTGGCCCTGCCGGTAATGGTGTTGATGTGAGGAAAAGCGGTGTGTATGGCCGACCATATCTACATGATCCTTGGGGAATTTATTCTAGTTACGATTTCAAGATTTGGTAAACGTTTTCCAATTTTATCGTTTTCATTTACTTCACTCAGCAAGTTGACATTATTCACCCGTACTAATAAATCTTCCACAATGCAGTTCACTATCAAGGAAAAGAAATAATAAATAATAATAAATATTCCTTAATAGATTTACATAATACAAACAGTGAAAGCTTTTCCTTTATAGCTTTCTTGTTCAAGAAGCGATAAAATTTACAAATGTGTTTTAGATGTGGAAATAATGTCCTTAAGTATAAAATGTTTGCTTGAAATAGTTGAGTGATTCTGATGTGATATACACCTATTGTCACTTACAAAAGTCTAAAGCAGTTTCAAATTTCATAAAAAACATTTTAAAACATTTACAAACAAAGCCTTTTAACTAAAAGTATCTGCTTTTATCTGGATGATGAAGATAACAATGTCTTCTGAGACAGTGATGTTGATGGTACAGGAATAACAGGATCAACAAGAGCCTCATGCTCAAGCAGCCTTGTTAATTAGCACTGCAGTATGTGTTGAAAGTCTTGGTCATCTGTAAATGAAAATGTCGGACAGACAAAAATACTGACAAAGTCGATTAGCAGTGACAAAACACGACAAGATGTGACAGTTGGGGACATATAATTGTATTCTTGGTGTTTGATAATTCCATAAGAGTCCCAAAGTCAGGTTCCAGAGTGTCTTACCATAGACGGTTAATACGGCGGATTCACTGAGGCGCCGACTCGCAGGATTCGTGGCACCACACGTATAGTTGCCCGTGTCTTTAAGACGAGCCTGGCTGATGAGCAGGCTGCCTTCGCTCGATATGATGAAATTCATTTCCTTAGTGTTGATCTGTATCCCGTCCTTCAGCCAAAAAACCTGCAAGATCAACAGGATTAATTAAATCTACTAAATGTCACACTTATAGTCTCAAGGGACCCCAGACAAATTGAATTATTTCCACAACTTTGTCTACTTACTCCAAGCTCAAGTCTATTGATTGAACCAATAGTCTCAATGGCCAATATATTCGTCCTCGTACAGTCTAGCAGCACTGTTGGAGGGGACATTTTTAAGAAAAATAAATTGTCTCTGACAGCTTCTCTTGATGACAGATTTAGACATATCTTTCCCAAAAGCTGTATAATAGGAATAAAATAACTGATTTCAATGGAATTTACTACATTTTACCCCCTGTTCTAGATCATATGTACACACGTTATAAGAACTCTACTCTGAGAATCAGGTACATTTTTTTCCTTTTAGATCAATAGTACATCTATTTGGTATTTTAATATCATCCCATTTCAAATGTCATAATGTTAAATGCTTTAAAAATATATCAGTATGTCATTTTGTGTGCCAACTTATTATTGAAACCATTGTACTCTGTCCCAAGTGGGTGCTTTGTGCAATCAAATTTCTTTCTTCTTCTCAATAGTAGTTTCAGGGATTGAAATTTTATTTTAAGTTATTTATTTTATATCAAGTATATCCCAAAATTTATTTTCAGGGTTTATTTAAAATCACACAGTTTAAATCAAGTTACTATAGATTCATTACTTGTATGGACATTTTCAAATCAGGACAGATGATGAAGAGGCCAACATAAAAAATGTTTTAACCATGTTTGTTGACTAGCTTGTCTGACAATTCCCAAGATAAAACACTTTTAACTATTTGAATATCATCGTCTCCTACTGACTCCCCCAGGAACAATTCAACATGTCCCTAGTAAATGAGTTTCAGAGATCACAAATCCAATTATCCTTATGTAAATTACTTAATCATTGATTGATAAATTATTCAACAGAACCATCTCCATATGTTTAGGGGCTATGGGTGGCTCAGTGAACTAAAGCATAGCAATTTGCTATTCAGAGTTGCTTCCCTTTGACGTGCCAGGATCCCTGACTGTGAACATTGGTTCGTCAAAATGCTCTTGGTTTGCACCAAAGTGAGTAAGTATGTATGCCACTTTTAGCCATATTCCAATCATATCATAGAGGGGCACCAAACATGAACCCATATGGGGAATCAAACCTGATTCTTCGGCAAGACAAGCAAACGCTTTAACCACAAGGCTACCCATTGCCTCCTTAACAAAAGAGGTAGATGTATAAGACCTATATAACTTAGGGCTCCCACACTGAGCTGAGACACCATGATATATAACTGACATACTGTTCAAAGCAGTGCAAAACACAACTCTCTCCTCTGTGTCTAATCCTAGCCAGTCATCACTGCTGTCAGTCCCTTCCCACACTCCATTAATATCACACCCCACTGCTTCTACACCACACCACATTCCCAAGCTACACCTGCACATAAACTGGGAGAAAATACCACCCAAACCCTAACTTTCTCCTTAATTCTAAGCCAATAACAATGAGGGACATAATATCAAAAGAATCCCCTTTCAAAATAAGTCCCATGTCTTGAAAATGATTTCAAACTTTGTAGGCACGTTTCATATTTCTTTTATCCTTTTTCAGAAATGAGTGACCCTTGACTGTGACCTTGATGTGCATCAGCCGCGTGCTACTTTGAAATCTCACACTGTGATGACAGTATTACATCATGAAAGTGTTTTAAGTGGAAAAAGACTTTAGCTTCAATTTCACCTTATAAACAACGTCTTTTCTCTGCTTCCTCTCTTCACAGGTCTTATTAGGATAATGACAGATTAATTCCTTTTAACAAAGGCTTATGAAAACTTGTGAGGTCCTATTACAAGTCTGAAATATTATTTGCTTAAAGCAGATACGAGTTGCAATTCAAAGCTCCCTACATCCAATTATTGCACTCAAGAAATTGCAACCATTCTATTTTTCTTACAAGTTCAGCTGTTCCTATGTTAAGTACACAAGCTCATACTAAATTAACCATCTACATTTGTTTATGTAAATATCATATGCACTCAACTGACTGTGTTCAAAGCAGAGGATAAATGCTGTAAGATTGAAAGCTACATTACTTTTATAATGACACTTTGATAATAAACCTCAGAAGAAAGCCCAATATTTTCTTTCTGTTATATAAAAGTACAAAGAGTCAATAGCAAAAGACACCACTTCAGCCTCTGGTTAATACATGTACCAAGTTTGGATGAAAAATCTTTCACAGTTTTCAAGATATGCTCCAGAAACAAAATACAGATGGATGGACAGATCAGATGATGACAATATCCCCCCCCGCATTATATGCCGGGGATAAAAAGCATAGCAGATTAAGAGATTAACAAGAGATTAAACAGACTTCACCAATAACTCAAGAGATTTGTTGTCAAGTGGACTTATTGTCTGCATTTGATATACATAATTATTTCTAAATTACAGAATTTCTCCTGATCTTGACTACAAACAAAAAGCATAGTCTCATCAAATTGCATTATATCAAAATAAATATTTAGAACTGGTGTAAAATGAAGAAATATGATAAATCCTAATTGTCTATGGTTCTTGTATTTCCATTCTAAGACATCCAGACCAGTATTTTGAAGCACTTATCACATAATCCAGGTGTGACCATACAAAGACTTAAGAAGTCATACCTGCAGCCTAGCTAGCCATATCACTTACTTATTGATATAGGTATAGCAAAGGATACCTACACCTGCTCGGGCAGGGGGATAGCTAGCAGGGGAACTGAGATTAACTCCAATTAATTCCTGGGGTGTAGTCCTGTTGACTCTGACTTTGGACATTATCAGAAAAATCTGAAGTATCAGCAAAACACCACAGGGGTCAAGTACGCCATTAACTTCTTAATAGATGTTGAATTTACTGTGGCATGTGATGAAATGCTTTCACAATATATGTAAGTACCCGGTACCTAAACTATTACATACTGTATGTTTTCATGGCATGAATTAACTTCATGTTTTAAATAATACATGTAAGTACACAAAGTATTACGCACTGTATCGTCACGCAGCATGGATTATCAGTAAACAATAGTCACACAATATTATCATATTTCAAAGTTAAACTTCCTTTCAAAGTTTTCCAAATGCTTTAAAAATTTTATTTCTTCATAAACCACTTCACAGATTTAGACATCAACCAAGTTTCAACCAAGTTTAGAGTTTGGTAACACATCATAAAAAATATATCCTTTAAAGCAATTTTATGAAGTGCAATTAAATATCACCAGTTGTGTATTTGGAGGATAAAATGTGGACCAGTTGCATGATTCTTGCTAGATAAAGTTTGTATTTTCAAGTTTATTGGTAACATTCTCCAACTGAAGGCGTGTATCTGTCAGGGGTGACTGCCACACCTGTTCCCTGCGTCCCAGCTGCCAAGCCAACATGGCACACACACATCAGTTTTGTACAGGAAAGATTGGATGGGAAATGAATTAGATTGAGGAAATGTTAGTCTTAGGGACCAAATGTGGTGCTAAAATTACTTTAAAGAGGTTCAATTTTCCCCGTTTTTCAGGCAACTAAATCTAGTTTTTTTAACCAGCCACCTAATGAAATCCAACAGTTTCTATTTACATGGGTATCAAACTTTACATGACACATTATCTTTTGAACTGAAAACATGCAGCTGCCATAGGAACTGAAAACAAAAGAGAACGGTGCCCAATTCAGTAGAAATACATGGAATAATCTTTCAAACAAGGTCCATAAAACAGATGTTTGGCAAAAAATCACTCTGATGTCCATCATTTTTACCCCCAATCCCCCTCCCACACTTTTATGTATTTCCAAAGCTATCAAGGAGGAATTACTAAATGGCTGCCTTTATCAGCCATTTGAGAGGTTGAAATGATATTCTCCACAGGACTAAACATAAATGCAAAACCCACACCATTAAAAATTCCATAATATCTGCCTATAAATATATGTCACTTAGCATGTAATTTTTAAAACATATTTTCCACCAATATTGTCAATTCAGCTTGTTGAATGGAACCTCCTCATCCACTGTGTTCCATTCAGAAAAGAAAAAGAAAACTTGTTGTTAGATATGCTTATCACCAGGGAACCCCATTTGAATCTCATACCGACTGTGAAAGACTATTAATTCCTTCACAATGAATAAGGCTTTTAACGTCCCATGTATGATCAAGGGATTATGATATATATGTGAAGCACAACCGAATCTATAGCACCATAAATAGCATTTCAACAATTTAGAAGAAAAATACCTAAGGAAGTCGAAATTGCAAAATGAAAAAATATGCAGATGTGCAAACCTGTTAATGGATAGAGATAATGGCCATGCAGGCGATATGTTTTTGTTACATAACCTTGCATGAGTTCAAGACAGCATTATTTATCAAGAGACAAGATCATTTTCATATATGGACACAACTACTTTCCTCACGCTACTTACATATAACATCTAGGCAGTGAACCTGAGATGACTTCATCTACATTGATTGTAAGAAAATTTAATAGTCACTTTGAACTACATTTCAGAATTATTTATAATCTTTAAATGTTTAAAATTAGAAAGCATGTGTCAAAGAAATAAATAAAAGACGATAGCATGCATTTATCTCCATTACTGCCTCAAGCCATGCTGAGACTCGTCCAACAAAATGTGCTTTTCCATCGCGAGAATGTTTTTCATGGAATGTTTATGGCTATATACTGTCATATTTCTCTAAAGATACCAAGTTGTATCTCGAAATTTAAAAAAGAATAAATTTACGTCCCACGCAGTGTGATAAAATCATGTTTAAACCCCATTTTTGTATTATTAATCCATGTGGCATTTACATAAGAGTTTTAACTTGAATTATCACCTTGTCCTACTATACTTATCTGGGTTTGTCGTTCATAAAAATCACTTTGAAACTTTCCAATTTGGTTTTTACACACTGATGTTGATACATGTTTCATCAATGTCTTATATAAAAGTTTATTTTTACTGTGAACTTTTAAAATAACCTTCAAAGTTGCTAAGGTCCACTTTTTCAGTGTTCAATGACACATTCAGAGCAACTTATCATCTTAGCGAGAACGATAGATGCATATCAGATAATATCTGGGTCTCTTCTCCCCATACAATACTAGGATCAAGCTACAAAGACTGTAAAATCCATTATAATACACAGTTTTAACACCTTCTAATCTTGAAATCCTAGCCAAAATATCAGTTTTCCCATAATGAATATTTTCTTTCATGTCTTCTATAACAATGGTTTTCAACGTCAACACTCGATCCTTCCTCCCCGATCAGTGATCAATAGGCATTTCACCTGTCTCTTACCTGACAGTTGTAATAGCCAAGTATTTATCACAGAGGACATGACAATACATACCTGGATTCCAAAATATCATTAGGACCGTCGAATGAAGAAGGTAGCGTTTTACATAGCATTTGATATGACCCCTTGTAATGTAATTACGGCCATACGACACTTATGTTACGGCTGATGGACACTCCATAAGTAACCTACGAATTCTGTATTGTATACTATGGGAACGAACACATCTACCTGTGCACCTGGTCGTTAATTATCAAGGTAAGCTAGGGGAGGGTGCGAATTGACAGGTGACATTGATGTTTGCGCTTTGAGTAACTTTTAAACATTGACGGCAGCTAATGCCTGTTTTAAGCCCAAGATCACTCAGCACCTGGAAAACTGAGTCCACAACCAAAGCCTCATTTCGGGTTAGATGGGGGTTAGATGAGGGGACCATGTGGATCTATGGTGGGAGAAGGGTAGGATGTGGGGGATGTGTGTATATCTACGTTCCAAACCTTTACAAGATCAACGTGGGAATCGAAAGCAAAGCTTACCGCCCACATCATTAACACTGGCAAACAGTCGCGATTACTCATTGTGGTCAGTACAAACTTGTACCTTGTGCAAAGATTTGAACAATTTCGACATGTTTAGTTTATAACTAATTCTAAACTGACTTATGTGTTTTTGGTTCCATGACTAACTCATAATATTGCGGCAGGGAATTTCAAGATTCTGGTTCAGTCTGTACACCAAATGTAGACGGAACTAGAATATTTTTTTAAAAGAAAATAGTGACATAAATCTTACTGTAAAATTGACAAAAATGTTGCAAAATATCATTTCCTAAAATGCATAGTTTCAATGACCTCATACATAAATTCTATTCTATACTTTTATAACTTTAACTGTTTTAACTTGTTCATAAACAAAAAAATCACATATAGCAATTTTCAGCTGCATTAATAACATGAAAACATTATTTTGACAACATTTTCAAGAAGTCTGAACTCGAAACTTACATTGTGACACATTTGTTTCCGCAGAAATAATCCGGTTAGATTAGTTTCCATTAGTGGTCCAGAATGTACTCCTGTCATGCCAATCTGTCTTCTTGTCATCAAGAGCTTCATCAAAGCTTAAAACACGCATCATCCTGGAGTTTTTATACCCCTGGCCGAGTAAAACACAACAGCGAGGGAGCTACCCCATTTTATGAGGGAGCGAATCTTTCCAATATCCTATTGTTTTCCTGCTAATTCCAAACAAGCCCTGGCTGGGGAGGACATTCGGAGCAATAAAACATAGTGATGTGACTCAGAAGCCATAAAAATATTTGCACAAAGAAAAATATGAAAAGACTTGTAAAGGTTTAATTAATCATTATTATTGTTTTCTGACTGATGCGCTTTGCTTAACAAAAGATGACCAAAACAATTATTTATTTTTATGTGGAGATATAGTCCATCATTAGTGCTGCTTAATCAAGATTTTTTTTTATTTCTCATCTTGCATATTTGCTTCGTTACAAAGAGGAACCCAACGTAGTCAATCTAAACACAACATCAATACAATGTCCTTGCTGTGAAAGTCGCAAGACAACATGCTGTATCGTGATGGGGGTGTTTTTAATTCATACCATGGACTATTTCAATGGAACACAGGGAATCACAGATTAACTGTGAGACTTGTCACAATATTTGAACAGCAAAATGTTTTCCATCTCATTCACAGGGATTGGTTAGCCTCAAATTGTTCTCAAACCAAACTGTAATTACACGCTTAATACAACACCACCAAGTGTTCAAACTTCCTTTTACATAATGTTCAAATCTCGACCGATAATCACAACAAAACGTCACACAAAGAAGTTGCCAGAAATTTGAATCAATTTCTTAAATATTTATTCATTTGGAAATGAATAAATAATAGATATCTTCATCTAGTAAGCATGTACCTGAAAGGCATTTGGCATCTCTTTTCTAATTTTTTGGTTTACTGGTCGACTCACTGGAGCCACAAGCCTAAAAAACACTGTTTATATTATAAATTACTAAATTATTTCATTTTATTTTTGAACATTCAGTATCAGCATGGATGTCCTTACAAAACCTTCTGACAAACCCAATGTTCCACAATATAAAAAATATAAATATTAAGATACATTAGAGCTTTATTTCAGCCTGCCATATATCGCTTATGAATACTATTCGTGCCCACAGACAAATGCATAATTAAAAATTGTCATTTGAATACTGACATATCAACCACTCAGACTTTGTTTGAAACTACTGTAGTAGGTTAATTTTATTGTTACTTTGGTAAAACTTTGCCTTGATTCTTTTTGAGGCGTGGAACTAGATTGGCTTTCTGAGGAGTTGTGGAGAAGATTTGGTGGATGGATGTGGAGGAGATATGAGGGAGGGTGTGTGGAGGAGATATGAGGGAGGGATGAGGAGGAGATATGAGGAAGGATGAGGAGATATGAGGGAGGGATGAGGAGATATGAGGGAGGGATGAGGAGGTGATGAGGGAGGGGGTGTGGAGGAGATATGGTGGAGGGATGAGGAGATATGGTGGAGGGATGAGGAGATATGGTGGAGGGATGAGGAGGAGATATGAGAGAGGGATGAGGAGATATGGTGGAGGGATGAGGTGATATGAGGGAGGGATGAGGAGATATGGTGGGGGATGAGGAGATATGGGGGAGGGTGTATGGAGGAGATATGGTGGAGGGATGAGGAGGAGATATGAGAGGATTAGGAGGAGATATGGTGGAGGGTGTGTGGAGGAGATATGGTGGAGGGATGAGGAGGAGATATGAGAGAGATTAGGAGGAGATATGGGGGAGGGTGTGTGGAGGAGATATGGTGGAGGGATGAGGAGGAGATATGAGAGAGGATTAGGAGGAGATATGGTGGAGGGTGTGTGGAGGAGATATGGTGGAGGGTGTGGAGGAGATGAGGAAGAGGATAACAAGCTGACCACTAGCTTTGTGGGGCAGCATTGAGTGTTGATCTACAAGTACTTCAAAAAGGGACAGACCTCTCTTTCATAGATCAAGTTAAGCATGATCTCTCCATCACCACAAAACAGGCAAATTTGTAGGCAAACCCTGATATTTTTGTATGGCTTTAGAACTTAAACCAAATTCCTCAGATAATACAGAGAGGTGCAGTCTTTTATCTCCTGTTTATATTCCTGAATAGGCCTATACTACCCAAAAAACATACATTTTCATCATAAAGAAATTAATTTTGCTCCCAAACTCATTGACCCATAAGCCACGAAATATTTTTCATAATTGATTCCGGGAGTAATTTCCAGATTCTTGCCGTAAAGGTATGACTAAGGACCAAGGGCTGCAGATGGGCTGCTGTGTAGGAATACATGAAGGAGAACACACAGAGAGGCTGCATCATGAACATCGTTTTACTACACCATCGCTGCGGTAAACTTGCAGACAGCATAAAAGCTAAGGGCTTGATTGAGAGGCAAGATGGTGTGTTTGTGCCGGGCTTTGATAAGATTTATGATTCTGCTCCAAGACAAATATGCAAAATAATTAAAAGAAGAATGTAGGAGAGGGACAGACAAGAATTACAATAGTATAGGGCTCCATAAAGAGCAGAGAACCACAATCAGCCCTCACATCTGCACAACATATTCCCTTTCTCTTTCCCACAGTCAAGACTCAGTGTTCTACTCTGCCTGGATCCTGCCTCTGATAACATCTACCCTGCATGTTCAACTCTGAAGACCTCTAGTCAATCTCTCAACTTGGAATAGTTTCACTTTGATCTCAACTAGTTTAGACAGGAAGGAAGGTTTATGTTTTGTAAAAATGTTCCCATCTAGACCCCTGATCTGGAGCAGTTTCCCAGACACTGAATGGCGAAAGCTGAATTTTTTGTCTTGGACATTTGTCTGCCTTCCAGACATCAACCAATTCCATATCTCCATATCAAAACCAGCTCCATTGTTTTAAAATCTGCTAACAGTCTCTGTAGAAGCACTACATGGTCTGATCATATCAATATTCCCAATAAAAATTGGGAATATTCTATAAATTCATTTAATCCTTTATTCAATAATTTCAATTTAAAGACTTTCATGTTATTTGACTCATGCCTAAAACAGAAGTTATGAGTGTTTTAGAAGAAAAAGAAATGTGATGTTCAATATACATTTTTTTAAATATGTTTTCTCTGATTCTGATTTTCCCATACCTGTGGCAATGGCTTCCCATCTGGCGGCAAACACTGCAGCTCAGCAGATGATTCAATCTCCACGTTCATGCTCATCGGCTCCCGTTGAAATCGCTTTTTCAAATCTGAAAATAATGATAATTATCAATATAAGCCTAATTACATTTCACAAACATCATGAACATCAACTTAAAATAGTTTGTCAAAGCCAGAGAATAACCAATCTTGATTATCCGATGAAACAGATTCCACGCGGATTAAAAGGCAAAATAGAAGTGATTTTTTATATTCAAGGATAGCTGAAAATCAGTGATGACACCAGGTGTTCAAATATGGCACACTCCTAAGATAGAAATGTGGTCACATTAGTAGAGTAACAATTACCTTATTCACTGTATTTAGCATCCCTGACCAATAATTTTAATAAGCACTCCGTTTGTAAAATTTCTAAATATCCGGTGCACTTATTATTGCAAATACAGTAGGTGAAATCTCATACTTGTAATGTCAAACATAAATTTAGATGTTGATAAGGTGTCGCATACTTCTGTGGTATGAGGTGTGCTTCCATTTACTGTACAGCTGCAGTAACATTTCAAAACCTGGCAAAAAATTCAGCATGCGTGTTCATTCCTATCAAATGGTGCAGACAGAGCCATCCTATAGAGACGTTCTTTCAGTGTCTCACCTACTTGAGTCTACGTGGAGATGAACAATACATATAAATTCCATCTCTGTCTCGCAATTCCCCAGCCCGAAAACATATATTTCTTAAATATCACGCCAATGATGCTAAACCTCATCATTTACATACAGTCTTATTGTAAAAAAACAAAAAATAAAATACTATGTAAGAATATGGAATAAGTCGTTCTGAAAATATCATGTATGAATATGATGTAAGTTTCATGTTCCATAGATAATGATTTGGTAATCAGAAAATATCATTTTTTGGGCACTAAAACACTGGAAGTATTATCTACAGATGTACATATCATGCACATTTTACATTCTGCTGACGCATTACTGTCTGCAGCCTGATTCCGCTTGTCTGCTAGCCTAAGACTACTAAATTGTGCTGAGGACAAGTAGAAATCCAATGATGGTAGTCGTCATAGATTTGTAGCTTTGGAGGGCTATAATTTTGAACCAGTTCTCAATATTTCAATTTTGCTACAAATTGGAATTGAATAAAACTGACTGAAAATGTAAACAGAGCAAACATTCTTGTCTTGTTCAAGCAGCTGATGCCATCACTAATGTCAAACAATTAAAAACATGTTTATGATTCAACACAGCCTCAGAACTGAAGAATTTATTATCAAAACATTTTTAAAAGGCATGGAAAGATTCTCATTTATAATTCAGAAAGCTGAAATGTTATTACATTATGAACAAAGATAATTCTATTAGTGTCTTAACCTCCAAGCTGATTGACTCTTGTACAAGCTTGTCCCTGTGGATTGTTTCAAAGCCAACACGTTAACCTTTTCCGTTTACAGAAAACATTTATGATGTTAAACAAGTATAACATTGCTTTTATTTCAAATACATTTCTCTTACAAGCTCCACCCTTGGGAGCTTGCAAAATAAACACAATTTCTTGTTTATTTTCTAATCATGAGGCAATTGCATTATTTCTCTGCCTGGCAATGACGAAGATCAAATGCTTTGTAAATACATGAGAAAATAATTGGAATGTTCATCTCGCTGTGATCCTGGTATATGTCAAACAGAACTGATACATGTCAGGAATTAACATCAATTTTTTCCTTTACAGAACGTAGGCTAAATAGAGGTATTATCAAAGTTACAAAATCTGACTTTCTTTGCACATAAAAGTGCAATATTTGTTATGTTTTGTTAGTCATATCTTGACTCAAGCTATCAAATATTTTTAAATTTGTGTTGGAATTTTTGTTAAAAAATGTGTATAATGAATTTCCAAACACACAACTTGCAAAACATCAAAGAATATCCGTCACATCGTATCAAATCAAATTATTCATGGAATAATTCAAAGGGAAAAACTGCCACATCATCGTTTTCAATTCACATAGATATATACCAGTAATGCCCAATCATCAAATTTATACTGAATGAAATTGACGAGCTTTTCCCTTTGTTGTCAGGTAGTCATTTCTGTAATGTGTGTCGGTGCTTGACAAATGAAAGAGGTAGGTATACACCAGCAAGGGAGGCCCAGCAGTAGTGGGATCCCCTGTCATCAGGCCGCACAAAGGGAATAAGCTGAACTGTGTATCACAACCCTGTCATTCCACTTCAATCACGCTGGCTGTATCATTAGAAAATCCCATCTTTCAGCAAGTCAATTACAGCTGTGATTAAAGCACACTTGATAAACATAGATCTACATGGACCAGGTGGGTGGAGTTTTTACACATATCTTGAACAAAACACTCATCTGTGCTGCAGGAGAGCATTGCGTGGAATGATTATACTTCTCAAGGGAGTTAAATATACAAATGCGATCACAGGTGCCTTGCTATAAATTATACGTGTCACTGTAATGGATGATATCCACAAAAGACTATCACACTACCAGTATTTTCTGATAATAATGTAAAAAGCATGTGTCTGTTAATTCTATTCCAAATCCGCAAGGGATAAAAAAGAAACTGATTTATAACATACAAAAAGACATTTGAAGTCAGTGGCTAAAAAACCTGAGAAATGTTTGGCTTTTTTAAACATCAGGTATTAACAAACGTTGTACCCTTTGGAGAACACATTGACTTGTGCTGACAATGGACATTGGGAAGATATAATGTGGTGGCATGTCCCACGAGGCATATAAATCATAAAGGAATTAATGTGTTTCTGTGATGATCTCTGATGTGTACTTTCTGAAGGATTATCAATAAATTTGGACTTGTTTTATGGGAATTCAGATGAGAAACAAGTCATTTCCATATACATCTGACCATAAAGACAACCACCATGGGAAATATCCGCAGGAATGGATGGCTGGAGACAATCAATTATTGTGTGACTTGCTGGAGATTACTGGACCAAGAAGGTGATAACTCCCAGTGATTAGTGGATAGAATGGAGGGCGAGGACGTGCGTCACATGCACGGCATACTGGGAAGGAGGAGCGAGCAGGTTGATGGTGGAGTGGGGTGGCGTTGCCAGGCAGGTGGAGCAGGGGTGTATGGCTGGAGAAGTGGATGGGCACATAAACAGGGAAGGGGATAGATGGGTAGGGAAGCGGATAGAAACATGGGCTAGTGGCTAGAAAGGTAGGCAAGTGGATAGGAGGTAGTGTTTGTTTGTTGTTAAACACCGCACTCAACAATATTTGAGCTATATGACGGCGGACTGTAATCGAGTCTGGACCAGACAATCCAGTGATTGACATCATGAGCACCAATCCACCCAATTGGGACACAATGACATGTATCAACCAAGTCAGCGAGCCTGAGCACCCAATCGCTGTTAGTCGCCTCTTCAGACAAACATAGTCCCCTTTTATGGCAAGCATGGGCTGCTGAAGACCTATTCTACCCCGGATCTTCACAGGTCAGTAGGTAGTGAGGTAGGTAGGGTAGAGAGGGATGCAAGCAGGTTTGTGGGTAGCTGACTGTGCATGTCAACTACCCAACTCATAGGTAGGGAGGTGGCAGTTTATAAACATTATAAGCTAAGGATGGGCATCTCTGAAACTGGTTTGAAAAGGACTGTGATACATAGAGGGTGAGGTGTGGTCTTGTATGTTGACAGATGGGCTAACAGTTCAGTTGGGTAACTGACAATTAAGGCGGAGAGGAAGAATATGAGAGTGACTATGACAAGGGTGTAAGACAACCCCGAGAATGAATCTCAGCTCCAAGAACACTGTCTGCAAAATCATATTGATGAGTCTCTCCCTGAACAATCAAGAAAGCAAATCAAGCATACAACAGAGCAAAGCAATCAATCTCCCACACAAAGAAGCATGAATTTATGACCACATCAGTCCATGTCTGTTTCAGCAAGTTACAAAAGTCCACTAATGCTGTAGCTGAAATCCTGTTTCTGAGTCAGAACCAGAGACACAGAATATCAGCATGCATCATTCTAGGGACCTGTTGCCCTGAGCCCCGATCTAAATAGGTGTAATGACCTGGAATCTACTGCCAGGCCCCAGGACCAAGGTTGAAACAGAAGCAAGGTATATAATCAAACCATGAACTACCGACCCTATAATGTTACCCAGTCCTCCTCTACCAAATCCCTATATTCTCTGAAGTTTCATTCCAATTCCAGCGATGCACTGTAATCAAGGAATCAGATGCACCAACACACGATATAATTTGGTTTGCCTTTTCTTGCTCAAACACTGACATATCGAGTGTACATAGGGCTCTACAAGCCTGGCATGGACACAGCCCTCCACAACCAACGCTACACCTTCATTGCAGTCTCGGCTGCCTTGGGCTTGTGAGCCGATTAAATTAGGCAGAAGACTGTTGAGGAAATTGATCATTGAGAAGACTCCACTTTATACATAACAATACCCACAGTCTGATCGATTTGCCTATAATCCCTGATCCGCCCCTTGTCCAGAGCTGCCGTTTACCTCTTATACTTACATAAACATCCGATTACTTGGCCTTTGATTCTGCCAATCTTCCTGCCAGGATCGATACAAATTCCATGTGATACTTGAGGAAGTTAAATCGGCAAATAGAGTTAGGAAAACAGACATTCCATCATACGGAGTGTTTCAGAGCTGTGGCAATCAACAGGCGAGGATTGTGCTCATCGACTTGAGGGAAAGATCCGTTAAAGAAGCCAACAGATCTCAACAGATTTGAAACACTTCTTTCGGTGTCGGCTGAATCTCATGACAGACGTTGCAATCGAAGTCCACAGATACGCGGAGGTTCGTGCAGTAGTGGTCGTGATTTCCTCGTTGATCAATTTGTCAATTGAAACAAATACCCAGTAATATGGTTGAGTACTTTGTCTCAGAATCATTGAGTCACTGTAGATTTATTGAAACAGTCAACTGATTGGTCGTGTCTGTGTCAATTCTTGGCAGAACAATCGCAATACACTTGTAGTGTTCACAGAAGCTATTGGAAAAAGGGGCAGAAGTCACTTTCCGGGAATCCACTAGTGTCAAACCACACTCGGATAAATCAATGGGATAAGCAGTCAATTTTCCTTTAATTTTATTTATCCAACATCCAACAGGGTCTTTTAATCAAAATGTCACGGATGCCAGAGGCTGAGGAGAGGTTTATAAGTCAGCGGCATGTCTGGGAACTTTGTTTCTGTCTAACAAGATGGATTTGGCAATCTGCTGAGATACAAAAAGAAAACTCAGGGAGAACAGCCTGATATATTAGCAAGCCAGAATAGCTCCAAGAAGACAAAAACCTTCAATGTATGGATGTTTGAAAGGCATGTCAAATCAAGTTAGAGGGTATGAAAGAGTTCACACAGGTTTTGTCTACAACTTACTTTAAATGTTTCTAAGTACTCACTGAAGTAAATAAACCAGAAACAAAAGAAAGGAATACCACTGACTCACATATCAAACTGAAGGGAGTTTTTCGTCACACCATGACAGACTGGAACTCAATTTCATATTTACAGATTGATGCACTGATTCCCTCAGTGAGGTTTGTAGTGAAAGACAGACTGAATAAATGAATGGGCTTAAAACAGAGAGTGGTTTTCAATGGATGGAGAGAGGAAGGATGAATCCTCTAGCAAGCTATTCTTCACCAGCCAATTGAAACAAATTAATGAAATATTTGTGAAGTGGTACAAAATGAAGTGAGCAGTTAATAAAGGGAGAGTGAAACTCAGGCAAAATGAGGCTGGTTTTTTTCTGGCTGATTTAACCTAGTCATGAGTAATCTTCCACCACCTTTCACACTTCACTGACAGATAATCAAGACTGAGCCATTGCCAAAACCTGGCACATCTTTTCCCAATCTTCAAAGGTCTTGACTTGGAGACCTCCAAGATTTTCAGCCAGGCAAACACTAAACTATCTTTGTCTCAAGACAGAGAAACATTAGGAGGACCTACAGAAAGTTGTTGAAGAGAAAAACACAACTGGGGTTTCTCTGTTTCATTCATGTTTTAACATGATCAATTTCAAATTCTTTTTATCAGCTTTTCATTCTGGTCCAAACAAGTATGTTATGGTTCAAATTACCCCCCAATGTTAACTATGTAATTTCCCTGGGTATTTTTCAAATGCTGGAAATGTTTACACAACTATGTTTTATAGACAAACATAAATATCCAGAGAATGAAAGAAAAAGTTCAAGGTTACTCTCATTTCTATTTGGCAATTTTCTCAACCATGTAAACTTGATTTCACGAATTACATTTCTGAATATCCTCTTTTGGGGTTTGTGTGAGTGGTGGGTGCTAATGTGGGGCATGCTTACACTTTTGGCGAACACCTGGGCCCACTTGCACAAAGCAATCTTAGCGCTACAGCTATTGTAAGCCTATGTTAAAGTATGGGAGTTACGATCATCTTAGCACTAAGATCGCTTTGTGCAAGTGGGCCCTTGTGTCATCACTGATTTTCAGTGAACCATTCATATGATTTTCACCAATATTTTGCATTTTGTGCCCAGTGGAATCTGTTCTGGCAGATAATCAAGGCAGGTTATTCTTTGTCGCTGACATTTCATATTTATATATGTTTTACAATTTCAAGGAATGTTCTGGGGTCGCTCAGACAGAAAGCATGAACACATATTTTCTGTATTTGGTACATGAAGATTGTCAATATACATCATATTCTGCACATCAGGGTCGGAGAATTCTCCGTGACAGCTGTACTCTGTGCCATGTGCTGCAACAAACCATTCTGACAGCATTTAATGGACCGATTCAAAATAGCCACATCTCTTTATCATGTTTGCTATTCTCCCCTTGACAAGGCAGTAGAACTCCTACAGATTCCTGGAGAAGTGTGACCAATAGGAAATACCTTCAACAATTGTATCCATCATGAACCATTTTGATGTTTCTGCTGGTACTGCGTGTATGCAGGTGAGGAGATTACTGGGCATGTCAGCACTGTGTATAGGTGGGTGCCGGAATGGCAACAAAGTAACAATGCTTGGAGTAAGAATGTAGGTATTCTATGTGGGTCAAGTGAAAGGTTGCAACATGTATATATATCATACCCCAGTACATGATGCATGCACAGCTGATAAATATCGTATGAAATTTCTGGTCGTGTTGCTTCAAAAATATTCGTCAGGGTTTTACATTCAGAGATGTAAAACATGTGTGTGAAATATGTAAGACAATGTGTCATTTATAACTTTGTGTGATAGATGTGTGATAGATGTGTGAAAGATGTGTGAAATGCTGTGATGCATAATGTGTGCATGGAAGACTCACAAGACATGGGACAACTCATTCTGTGTGTGAGTGAGTGTACATGTGTTGTGTTCATGGGAGACAAATGATACCATTCTAATGATTTCACTACAGAGATGGGTGTAGGGCAGTGGTCGAAATAAACGCTTGCCCGTAGGCCCGTGGGAGGTAGATCGTGTGTCTGGCCCGTAGTTAAAAATTTGTATGAGTCCTTATGGCCTGCAGTAATTTTGCATCTCGATTTATTTGTCACAATAACCTGCATTTTTTTAATGAGGACCTGAAAAGTTTAGTCAGGGCTTGGGGCTACAAACGTCCTGATGGCAGCCTGGTATTTTATATTATTTCAAACACTGGTGTTTGGAAAGAACTAGATTGAGCAATAGTGGACATGAGTGACGACCAAACTGCATGTTTCGGGAACACCTGATATCTCTATTTGATAGTGATTCATAAACACATGCTTCAAAACACCAGGGCCCACTTGCACAAAGCAATCTTAGCGCTAAGATGATCGTAACTCCCATACTTCAACATAGGCCTACGATAGTCTTAGCGCTAAGATCGCTTCGTGCAAGTGGGCCCTGGTGTCATCATTGATTTTCAGTGATTCAATTCATTCATACAATTTTCTCCACTATTTCGAATATTACGCCCAATGGAATCTGTTTCGCCATTTAATCAAGACTGATCATTCTTGCGTTGACATTTTGTATTTGATATAGCTGGAATCGTACAATGGCCTCTGCTTTTGGTAGACATTTCTTATGATCATGGAAATGGTCTTGTGTTTATTTACAACAGTCAGACCAAAGCTATCATGACCATAACACATGAAGCATACTTTCCTCCCGTTTGACACACATCACCCTAATATTCATTACACACTACTTGCAACCTGAATCAGAACCATCACATTTGCGTATCCAGCTTCAGTGTCAGTCCCACAATTTCCCGGATACTGAATGACATATCACAACATGTGATCTAGATGCACTTCCGCCAGGACCATGACGGTTACCTCTAGCAGTGTCCCCAGGTTCATTATTTCCCCTGAGACAACAAACACGGCATCAGATAGAGAGGCATTCCTACTTCCTAGTCTACCACGACTATCAGCCCAATCTTAATCCACAGAGAGTCTGCACTGGCTTCTGGTTCAGCTTCACATACAATGCCAGCAAAACAGGCACAGAAAGAAACATATAGGAGTAACCAACACATAACCTTTGAATTGTACAAATAACCAAAATGTTCAAAATATTTTATTATCCAAAAACCCATCTCATGTGGGTATTCATTTGAAAGCTTGTACTGTTCTGAGTTTGAATCATAGAACAATTTATTCAAAATCTGATTTTTTTTTTTAAATAATTAAAAAGAGGTAAATATCAAACTGGTTGATACTTAAGAAACGTCTCTTATCATGTTCGTGTTTGTCATTTTACTTATGAACATAAAATATGAATGCCAGAGAATAATCAGTCACGATTATCTTCGAAATAGATTCCACTGAAAATCAGTGATGACACCAGGTGTTCACAAAAAGGGTAAGCATGTTCCGCTCTTCAAGCAGCACCCGCCACTCATAAATGTATTGTGTTATATTTGCTTAAAATCGGTACTTACATGCCACTTCAACAAGGCCCTTCCTACTCTCCATGGACTTGGGTGCACTGAATCCCGGAACGGTATTCCATGCAAAACACTGACACAGATATCCATCCGAGCCATAGTATTCCTCTACCTCTTCCCTGGAGACTTTGATGCTAGACTGCAATGTCTTAATCGCAGTCACTTGATCAACAAGTTTTAAATTAGTCTGTTGTTTAGCTGATACATCGGCACCAGCACACTTGAATGTTATTTGAATTGCCGGTGTTGCTTTACATGTAATTGTAACAGGTTTATTTTTCATCACATAATAGTTGGGCTCTGGCTCCTGCTTAAACACTGGCGGCCCCTGTGCTAGTGGATCGCTGCTTCCTATGGCAACAAAGTCACCTGAAAATACAAAACATAAGGCATTTAGTAAATTGACGATAGACAATGTAGGAAATAAAAAATACAACTTAGTCTCTGTAGCTCACCTTCTCACACAGTATTTATATGTTGATGAAGAAAGATGGATTTCTGTATAATTACACACTAATCATACAATTATTAGTGTAGCTCATAAAAAATCATATTACAACTAACAAACAACATAAACTTTAGTGCAAAAAAAACATTTTATATTTTTTTTCAACTGGAGCAAAATCAACAATAGCCACATTTTATTTGCTCTAAATTATTAAAATTTTATGACTTAATTTAGAAACTGTATTATGAGGAGCACCATATATATTTCAGTTCAATCTATTATGCAGTTCGAGAGAAATAGTCAAAGGAAATGGTCACATTGTAAGCTCATACATGTTTCAGATTTCTCAATGTAAATAAACATCCTGATCTTGTTAAACAGAATGGAATGATAATATACAATTTCAATGCATCCTGTCTGAGTAAATTTCACAAATCAATAACATCTGTCATTTCTGTTCGATAAATCAACAACAATTAGCATGCACAATGACAATCTCACATAACATGATCTGGAGTATAGTACCTGTATTTACCCGAGGTCATGGTGTATTAATTAACACCTGAACTGAGAATGACCTGCACAATTTACCTGGACACCAGGTGAAATATACAACCTGTATAATCTGTCACTAATTACATATTTGTCCAACCCTGCGGTCATCCCATTATTGAAATAGCTGGACCCCAAACTGGAGTCTACGTAACCACTTTTGCTTAATGAAAAGGCTCTATTTCTCGTAACCTCCAGGAATAGCATTCAGTGTTTATATCAATAGACAGTATAGATTAATAGCGATTTCATGACACCCACAATACAATCCCCAATGGCAGAGTGACACATTCAATACTAAATCTTTTTCAATACTCAGACAAGCATCGACTCACTCATGGAAATCTGACCCGAAAAAATTGAAAAATGAATTTACATTTCATTCCACTCAATTCTGCATAACATGATAAAACAATTATCTGTACCACAAATATTTTAATATGGTTATCAATTATCTTTTTTAATTAAATGAATATCACAACATGACTACTAATAGTTTTGTAATGTAGCTGCCATACCTCACTAAAAGCTGGATCAACAACAAACAACTATCTGAATATCAATCTTTTGAAACAGATGTTTCATTTCCGCTTGGCCTATCGTGAACTTATTAACCCATTTCTGGTTTCAGTGTTAATTTTAATGACAGTCCTCCCTCATTAATTACAGCCGCCAGCTCGTCATCGTCCAGTGATGAGTAACGGTCATAACTTGGCCAGGAGATATCATTTGTAATTCACATGTGTAATAACAGCCAGTACCACCTTCAGTAGATAATGACACTGTCACAGTGATATTGATCATGTGATGTCTATTTCATTGTAAGTGATATTGACAACCATTTCCACACATTTGCTTTAAAAACCATTCCACTACCTTCCTGATTTGCAAATGAACATTCAGTCTTTCCAAAGAAAAATATTTTTTCTGATGATTTATGGGTAAATTATGATGAGTAATTTTCATAAAACATGCATACAGCTTACAAAATTTCTCGTTTAAAGAACACTATTGTTTCTGGACAATAAACACTATTTTTTTTGAAATAATTACCACCTCATATCTCATAGTTCACACACCTGTATGCCACTGAACCACAATACACCATTATGTTGTTTTAACAAATAGTTGGCCTGCATCATTTTGAAAACTGTGATCTCCCCAGCTTGATACATTAATGCCTAATACAACAATGGATGGCTGTAATCTACAAGGGCTCAATGACCGCAATGTACAAGGCAGAGGACAGATCAGACATTATCAGAAGCTATCAGCAAAAATCTCAACAAATCCCCCTTAAGGCAGTGGGTAACCTTTGAAGTACAGCGATAACCTGAAGATACCAGGTCTATATGGGGCCTGGATTGTACAGCAACTTTGCTTCCTACCGTCAGTCATATCTGACATGCACATCTCCACACAGACATGTCTATGGACATCATCATGTCAGCTGAGGTACACAGGTGAAATTGACGTGTGAAATCTTTCATCGAGGGGCCGTTTTTTACATGGCATTATTGCTGTTGGGGTTTTAACAGAATTCTCACACTTTTGTTACCTAGGTGAAAATAGGATGTCCCTGTGTAAAGCAAAAACCATGATGGTGTTACAAAATATCAAACAATGTGTGAGATTGATGTCGAAAGTGAGTGAGTGAGTATGGTTTTACGCCGCTTTTAGCAATATTCCAGCAATATCCTGGCAGGGGACACCAGAAATGGGCTTAACACATTGTACCCATGTGGGGAATCGAACCCGGACCTTCAGTGTGATGAGCGAACGCTTTTACCACTAGACTACCCAAACACCCTAGTCTTAAGTAAAACTGGAATCTGGTATTGAGTTTACAACTAACCATGTCTTGTCCATTCTTTGAGAGACTGTGTGTAACTGAAATTCTCACATTGTTTCATTTTCTTTACAAAGCATATTGTAGAATCATGACTGAAATCTCCATATATTTTCTTGATCGTCTCAGAGTTTCCTCCGTGAAGAATCTTACATGTTGAGGAGTAACACACACGCCCCAAATTCTTCCCATACCGCCTGATGTTTGTCGTTTTGTTAAACCATCCACACAGAAATTAAAACAATCAAGGGAGTGTGTATATCAGTATATGTCAAATATACCTGACAAAGAAAACACAATAAGTATAAATCGTTACATTCTTGAGGATAGGAGAGGTCCGGCAACACTCACAAACTACCCAGAGTAAATACACCAACAGGTGATCACAAACAGACCCCTGGTTTCAACACAAGGTGCCCAACTAGCCCTGAGTTGGATGTTTTATCTGACCAACTATGTTGAACCTGGAGGTCTCGGTGATAACTAGCAGGAATTATCAGCTCACCGACAGATCCCCCAAACAGACACGCCCCTAAATAGGTGTATAGTGTAGTAGAACTGTAAACACCATTTGAGTCGGATTGGCTTTCACAGTAACAGATGGACATTCAGCCAAGGTCCTCATCAACAACGCTACTTTAGCTAGTACCTATATCAGAACAGTTTCTCAGAGAGTACTACAAGGCCCTCACCATGTATACTTAAAGACAGCATTGCTCACTTGTGTTGGTTGACTGCTGCTTGTAAAACAGGAATTTAAAACACATTTTGTGGGGTAATGAAAAGTGGCAACGTCAAGCAGTACAAGATAGCAAGATATCGCTGGGCTAATTTTGTAAGTTTCCATCCCATTTTTTCTAAGAACACAGAAAAAAAGAAAGTATCCAAGGCCTATGGAAACATATATCATGATGTGTTCAGAGGTGTGCCAAATTCATCCTATTGCTACAATAACTTGGTCAAATTCATCATGTGCTACAACTTGGTCAAATTCATCATGTGCTACAATAACTTGGTCATATTCATCATGTGCTACAACTTGGTCAAATTCATCATGTGCTACAACTTGGTCAAATTCATCATGTGCTACAACTTGGTCAAATTCATCATGTGCTACAACTTGGTCAAACCAATCAAAACACTTCATTAACTAAGTTTTATTTATCACATCAATAAGTTCTCAGCAGTAACATTCTGTTAACAATCACAGTGCAGTTATTACACAGACATGAGCCATGTGTTCAGCATATTTCTGTAGCATGAGTTAAAGCTCTTAGGATTCCTCTCAAGTAGAATACTGTTATGGGAACATCATATATTTCAGATGACATTCCACTTCCCTGATGTAAGCACACCCTCCCTGATGGCCAGCACGAGTTGCTGTACACAACCTTCAGGAAGCCCTCCCCCTCCCAACTCTCCTACCCAAGAGGCGCCCTTGAAACCAGTACAACTAATTTATTGGTGTTGGGGTAATTAGATTAGCTGGAGAGGCTCTAGGTAAAGAAAGAGACTTTGATAAAGATTTCAAGACAAATTTGAAGATTTACAACATGGAACAACTTGCCACTAGGTAGTCAAGTCGGACCCTCATGTCTCAAATTCAGATTTTATCAGCAAAACACCCATTATGGTTGGCCTGAACAAGCTTTCGGTCAGCCATAAATCTTCTGGGGGAGAAGGTGGTCCTCCATAAATTGGCTTGTTGAACCCGGTGTTCAACAACCATACTTGCTTCAGCTCTTGATTAATACTCTGTACACCATTCCAGCATTTTTTCCCACAATTTGGACATGGGTTGTGTGAGGCCATTCTCAAGTTCGTGCAAGGTTACTGAATTTCAATTGAGTTTTCTTAAAAAGGTTTATTCAAATATCCCACATTTTTCTCTATTTAAAATTCCAGGATAGAACACAATCTGTTTTGAAAGCTTTTCAGACAAAGATTATAAAAACAGTTTGAAAACTAAAGGAATTTGAGCATGTGGGTTTATTGAGAATGCATGTCGGATATATGACCCTATCATTGTTCTGCCCCGAAGCTGTATAACTTATCCACATGGGGTGGCACAAAGTTGTACATGTCACATGGAGGTTTATGCAGACATCAATATGATGGTATTTATACTGCACATTCTGTATGTCTATAGCCCAAGGGGAGATATATCCTACATGACTGACACGCATGAAACAGTCGACTACTGTAAAAAGACTTTTCGTCTCCGCGGATTAAAATGTCTGACGTTCATTTCCCAAGAAAGCTTGTTATTCTTATCTGATGAATGATAAAAAATTTAAAGACATTTTTAATGATCAGCCTAAGGTCTACTAATATTCAATTCATCATGCTGTTGTCCCTCGAAACACTGAATCATGGCCTTGTTACACTTGAAATAAATATATTTTTTATAATTATATTTTTTATAATTTGTATATTTGATAAGTAAATCACGATTTATATATCTATGATCAGTTTTCTTGGCACTGATCCAACATTTGGTGTATTTTAGGAAAGTCACTA